GCACCCTGTCCTGCTTCATGTCATTCTTTCCCCTCCCCTTTCAGTGTCCTCATGTCCTACCTCCTCCACTCCTTCCTCTTCCTCCCAATATCACTGCCCAACCTCTGTGTAAGTGCCAGCAAATGGGCCTTGAGGTGGAACCAGCACCACAATTACCATTTCTTCCTCTCATCCCCCTACCCAGGGCCCCTGAGAGCCCACCCGTCCCCCAGTCCCCTACTGGGCAGGCCAGGCTGGAGTAAGTACAGAGGCCAACCTGCCAGGTCTGCCATGTGCTCAGGGCTTCAGCATTGCTTCCCCAGCAGGGGTTCCACATGCCCCCTAGCAGCCAGAACTGGGGGATTCTCAGACCCTGCTCCTGCCACCAGATTAATGCCTCCATAGTAACCCAAAGAGCAAGCAGTGGGAAAGCAGTTCACTGGGGTCAGAGTAGTCCCTGTGCTTCAATAGTGAAACTTTAACAGCTTAGACCAGAAATGGGGATAGGGATACCCAGCTCAGGAACAGGGCAAGGAGGGCATCTAGGGTGCTGTGTGGTATGTGGGTAGTGGAGCAACCTAACACTGTGGGAAGGGCAGTGACAGGGACCAACAGAGGCTGGAGGGGCCAGAAAGGAAACATTGGATAGCATAAACTTAAGTGCCTACCCTTTCTGCAGGCAGGCAGGCTGTAGGGCTCAGAAGCTGCCAGACAGGCCAAAGGAGGGATAGCCATTCCCTTCTGCTCAGAAGTTCCTTATAAAGTCAGGATAGTGAACAAGAAAGTTGCAAGTTAGATGTTAAGTAGAGCTTTTCCCTGTACTTTGACATAGGAATGTTGGGTTGGTGCTACTAACTCCCCAGATGTGGAGAGTTGAAAAGGGGCTTGCCTCGAGGGGACAGGGGTCTGCTCAGCGCATGGACTATTCCCTGTGCCTGTGTGTGCCTGCAATTGGGGGCAGTGTCCAGGAGCTCAGCAAGGCATGTGTACCACCCTGGGATGGACTTGTGTCAGACACCATCACTGACAAGTATCTCCCCTCAGAGCCCGGTTCCTGGAAGGTGTGGCAGCAGCAGAAACAGAGAAGCAGGCTGCATTGGCCCAGGGCCGGGCAGAAACACTGGCTGGGGCCACACCAGATGAGGCTGATGGACCCCCAGGTGAGTAGACAGGTGGGCAGAGTCCAGAATCCCACCCTTATTGTGCATAGAGGGCAAGATGCCAATAGCCGCTTCTCTTTTTCTAGGCATCCGGGAACTATGGGACTCCTCAGAGCCAACCCCTGTACCCAGACCCCCCCAGAGCCCTGTCCCTCGAGTCCTGCTCCAGGCCCATCGGAGCCTTGAGCTGGAGCCTAAGGAACCACTGGTGCCACCAAGCCCCAAGGCTGAGCCCATCCAGGAGTTCCCAACCCGTACACCAAAGCTCTGCATTGGGGACCTGGACTTCTCAGATCTGGGGGAGGATGAAGACCAGGACATATTAAATGTAGAATCTGTGGAGGCCGGGAAAGGGGCTCCACCCCCACCTCCCCCACTTCCCCTGCACTCTGGAGGCTCCCCACCTCCTCCCCCTCCACTTCCCCTGCACTCTGGAGGCCCCCCACATCCTCCTCCCCCACCTCCATCCTCCTGCCCACCACTTCCCCGCTCAGCACCCGATGGCCCAGCCCTCCCCACCAAGAGGAAGACTGTAAAACTCTTCTGGCGGGAGCTAAAGCTGGCTGGGGATCACGGGAAGTCTGGAAGCCGCTTTGGGCCCTGCACCACCCTGTGGGCCTCCCTGGAGCCTGTCACAGTGGACACAGCCCGGTTGGAACACTTGTTTGAATCCCGAGCCAAGGATATACTTCCTTCCAAGGTAAATACACCAGAGATGGGGAAAATCAGAGTTCAAGGGGGTGAAATAGTCCCTCATCTCCCACATGGGGAAACCAGGATAAAGAGAGAAGGACTTGACTTGGGCTCTCTTAATAAAGTATTGACAGAGCCCTAACTAGAATCTCAGCTTATCCCAATGTTTTATGTGTCCTGGGTTCCCATTTGTAGGATCATTAAGCCATTCAGAGGAATACCTTGGAGTGCTCTCAAGATTGCTGCCCCAGCTAGTCCTTTCCCCAATCTTTCACTGTTCTTCCCCCCATCTTATAGAAAGCTGGTGAGGGCCGCCGGACAATGACCACAGTGCTGGACCCCAAGCGCAGCAACGCTATCAACATTGGCCTAACTACTTTGCCACCTGTGCATGTCATTAAGGCTGCCCTGCTCAATTTTGATGAGTTTGCTGTCAGCAAGGATGGCATTGAGGTGGGGATACCCAATGGATGTGAAAGGGAGGTGGGAGATCTGGACATCTTACTGACATTTCCACTCCCTCTGGTGGTAGGGATGGGCTTAACATATCTGCAGGGCATTTGCCAGACCCTGGGAAATGACTAAAGGAGGAGTGAGAGATGACTAAAGGAGCATGAGGCCTCAAGCTAACACTGTGGGGCGGTGGTTGCATCCTCAGAAGCTACTGACCATGATGCCCACGGAGGAGGAGAGGCAGAAGATTGAAGAGGCCCAGCTGGCCAACCCTGATATACCCCTGGGCCCAGCTGAGAATTTCCTAATGACTCTTGCCTCTATTGGGGGCCTGGCTGCCCGCCTACAACTTTGGGCCTTCAAGCTGGACTATGACAGCATGGAACGGGTATCTGGGTCATAAAGTGGGACAGGTAGTGGGGACAGGTAAGCATGATGAACATGAGTCTAAAGCCCTTGGTTCTCCTACACCAGGAAATCGCAGAGCCATTATTTGACCTGAAAATGGGAATGGAACAGCTGGTGCAGAATGCCACTTTCCACTGCATCCTGGCTACCCTGCTGGCTGTGGGCAACTTCCTCAATGGTTCCCAGGTAAGTGAGAGCACATGAGGATTAGAGGTCAGGGCTCTGGAGCCAGCCAGGCCCTGGCTCAAATGGAGTCTTTCAGAGCAGTGGTTTTGAGCTGAGCTACCTGGAGAAGGTGTCTGAGGTGAAGGACACGGTGCGCCGGCAGTCGCTGCTGTACCATCTCTGCTCCCTGGTGCTCCAGACCCTACCTGATTCCTCCGATCTCTACTCAGAAATCCCTGCCCTGACCCGCTGTGCCAAGGTTAGCACCAGCAAAAGATTCAGTTAAAATGGGCTGGGGCACAAGCGAGCATTTCTTCCTTGGGTTGGCTCCTCCCACTTTTCCCTATTTGGGCTGTGCTAGGGTGTGCTCCAGCTACAGGTGTGTGAACTATGCTCTGCCTCTCTTGGCCAGGACACACCTACTCAGTCTTTTGAGTCTCAGTTCAGCTGCCACTTCCTCCAAGAAGCCTTCTGTCTCTGTTGCATCAAATGGACTTGTCTCGCATATTAGATTGAACTTTTGGAGAGCAGAAGCCAAATGTTAGTTGTGTCCCTAGGCCCACAATGGCCAGTCTGGCAGAGGCAGCCTCAGGCAACCTGTTACCTTTGGGGTGACAGCTCATGTACCCACTTGCTTTTCCAGGTGGACTTTGAGCAACTGACTGAGAACCTGGGACAGCTGGAGCGCCGGAGCTGGGCAGCTGAGGAAAACCTGAGGAGCTTGGCTAAACATGAACTGGCTCCAGCCCTGCGTGCTCGTCTCACCCACTTTTTGGCCCACTGTGCCCGCCGTGTTGCCACACTGAGGGTAGTGCACCGCCGTGTTTACAACAGGTAGGGGTATGGGCCCCAAAGAAGCAAGACTGCCACCACCATCTCTCAAAGGGCAAGCAGGACTGCCCATCCCTCCCCCACTCCAACCTGCCTAGGTTTCATGCCTTCCTGCTCTACCTGGGCTACACTGCACAAGCAGCCCGTGAAGTGCGCATCATGCAATTCTGCCACACGCTGCGGGAATTTGCCCTGGAATATAGGACTTGCCGTGAACGAGTACTGCAGCAGCAGCAGAAGCGAGCCACTTACCGTGAGCGCAACAAGACCCGAGGACGCATGATCACTGAGGTAGTTACCCTTCTGAGTCTTGACTGCCACCCCTTGGTTTCTTTCCCCTACTCTCAGCTCATCCTTTTCCCATCCTCAGACAGAGAAGTTCTCAGGTGTGGCAGGGGAAACCCCCAGCAATCCACCTGTCCCAGTGGCTGTGGGGAGTGGACCAGGACAGGGTGATGCTGACAGTCATGCCAGTATGAAAAGTCTGTTGACCAGCAGGCCGGAGGACACCACACATAGCCGTCGCAGCAGAGGTAGACCTATAGCTGCTGTGGGGAATGGGTAATAAGGCCACCTTGACCTGACCTCCCTATCTGGTCTCCCACAGGTATGGTCCAGAGCAGCTCCCCAGTCATGCCGCCAGCAGTGGGACCTTCCACTGCACCCTCTGAAGAATCCCCAGGCTCCAGTTTACCCAGTGACACATCAGATGAAATCATGGACTTGCTAGTGCAATCAGTGACCAAGAGCAATCCCCGAGCAGCTACAGCTCGAGAAAGGAAGCGTTCCCGTGGCAACCGTAAATCTTGTGAGTACCCACCATAAGCCCACTGCTTTCCCGAACCCCATCATCCCCCTCCAACCCTACTCTGTCCCTACAGTGAGACGAACACTGAAGAGTGGACTTGGAGATGACCTGGTACAGGCGCTGGGTCTGAGCAAGACTCCTGGCCTGGAAGTGTGAAGGTGCTGCCTCAGGAAATTTAGCTGGATCCCAGCCTGCAGCATAAGAGACTACAGAGCAAGGAGAACCCAAAGCAAAATTCTGGTCCCAGAACCCAGTGTCCAGGGACTGACCAGTACCTTAAGCAGTATTAGGTGTGTGTGTGTGTGTGTGTGTGTGTGTGTGTACGCGCGTGCACGCATGGGCTCATGTGTGACCTCCCTACTTGCCGCAAAATAAAGTTTTCGTAGCTAATTCCAGAGCCTTTTTCCTTTCAATGTCTCCCCAAGCTGAGCCTGTAGCAAGAGGGAAATACCATACGACTAGTTCTTCCTGCTTTGTCCCTTATTAACTCACACACACACCCATTAGCCACATTCTAAGACATTTATTCAACAATTCTATACCTCAGGCTGCTTTTGGCCTGGACTAGGCTCTCATTGCTCCAGGCACTGAGGCCATGCAACCCAGTGCCCAGGAGCCTATGGCCACAATTTCAATGGCTATAGCCGCTTCATCTGCCGCCGCTCCTGTCGGCGCTGCCGTTTCTCGTTGTGCTCCGGTGCTGGGGTGCCACTGTCTGCTGTGAACCAGGGTCCCAGCACATTCACCCATAAGAGATAAAGGGCCCGGCCTGGAGCCTAAGAGAAAAGATAACTTGAAGTTGGGTGCAAAAAATGAAGGATAGGGAGGGTTAGATGCCTTTTTTAAGGAAACCCTCAAGCCCACATACCAGAAGCCAAAAGGACCAGATATAGAGGGAGAAGCAGCTCAGAACCTGCACAATAGCTGTCAGCAGGATCACATCCTTAAGGTGCCTGTGGATAGAAGGGAGGTTGCCAAAGACAGTAAATGGGCCCCATTTTGTTTTCCTTCCACTTTCTTCAAGTTGCAGATAGCTGTGAGCCTTAGGTTCTCTGGGCCCCAGTGCCCCAGCCCTGGGGCCGCTCACCTGGGCTGGCGGTGGGGGACACTCACTCTGCCATGCCCTGTTCCATGTTGAGGTCCATGCCACCATCCATCAAGGCCCCATCTTCAGAGAAGGCTGCCCGAGCCATCGAGCTCATAGAGTGGTAGCTGGCCCCATATACTGCCAAACTAAAGCCAAGGGCCATCTGCAGAGCGAGAATAGGGATATCAAAACCAACCACTGGACCTATGCACTCATCCACTTTCCAGGATGAAGATACTTACCCAGGCCCAAAATGAGGCAGATGCGTAGAAGACAACCAAGGTCACAAGGCAGTAAATGGCCTACAAGCAAACAGGATCAGGCTGGGGTCAAAAAATGCTTCAAACCATGGGACTCCCACAACTGTACCTAAGAACTAGGTCAGGCTATGGGCAGAGCCAGATTGTTCCTATAGGGTTGGGAGAAAGGCCTTGCTTCCTGATGCTAAGTACCAAGACTGTCTTCTGAAACCCAAGCCAGCCCAAGAAAGAAGCCCTTATGTATCTACAATGGGGAAGGCAGTGAAGTCTAGCTGGGACTCACTTCATTATTATTTGTTTGTGTTTTGCTTTATTAGCCCAGAACCTTATTCCTGAATCCTTTCTCATTAATTTCTGTTTGCCAGTGTCCCACATGCCTGGTGCTGGAGATAAAACCCAGGATTATGTTCATGGCTAGACAAAGATTGTACCACTGAGCTACACTCACCAGTCCCCTCTCATTTCTTTTTGAATGTACTTCTTTGGAGCCTTAGCTGTCACCACCACTCCTCACCAGAGCTGAATACTGCGGAGCTACGAGTGGTAAGAGAAGAAAGGCAGATACTTACGTTGGCCCCCAGTATGATCCTCAGATAGAACTTTAGGGTCTCTCTGTTCTCTTCAAATATCTGCTTCTTCCCTCTGGTGCCCACTTTGCCCTTAGGCTGCAGAGGAAATATGAGATGCCGTCAGAGCTCTTCTCAGCCCCTCACTTCCTCTACCACCCTGGTTAGCTACACTGTCCCATCTGCATCTCAGCCAGGTCCCCACAGTCCCTGAGATGTCCACTCCTCCTCTAGTCCATACTGTCTAGAGCTGACACCATCTTTACAGCATCTCCAGCTTCGATTGCTTCCTGCTGGTCCTGAACAATCGAACGCTAGGCTTATGCCTTCTCCAGCTCCCCCAGCAAGGCCCAGCTTTGGGCTGACAGCACCTCGAGGGCACTCTTGAGTGGGGTTATATGGTACCTCTCTCGGACTTCTACTGGATTGCAGATGTGAAAATAACGGCAATAACACACCCCCTCTGGTACTAGTTTTGGTGTGGTCCTGCACCGCCATCTCTGTCTCCCTTCAACACCCCGCTCACACTAGTATAGTCCACTCATTGGATAGCGCCCCCCTCTGGCCCGTCCCGCATTCCTTGATGTGCCTCTACTTTCATTCTCCAGGCCGCGGGAGAGATTTGCCCATGTGGACCCCGCCCTTCCCGTTCTCCTTACCGCCATGGTGCGACGCAAATACCAAGGCAGGGAAACAAGGGCGAGCGAACCAAACCAGACGGTGGGTACCACATCGGCAACGCTTGCACTTCCGGTGCAGACCAAAATCGTCAGATCATGGACGGAAGTGGGACTCACTTCCTTTCCCAAGTCCCGCCCCCAGAACTAACGGAACTACATTTCCCAGAAAGTCTTGCGCGGGGGCGGAGGCGGCAGGGATGCGATGGCGGAGTCGCTGCCCCTGGAGGTGAGAAGAAGCCGCCCTCCGGCCTAGCTCCGGACAGGCCCCGCCCTTGGGGTCCCGAGCTTTGGGGAGGGACTGTCAGTAAGCTCGCCTTGCGCCTTCCGCCTGGCGGAAACGACCCGCCCGGTGGATCCCAGGACCTGCAAGCTCTGGGTAACGGCCCCACTTTTGGGCCACTCTATCCCCTTAGCTTGGGGAACCGTCCTCTCCTTCCCAATCGGCCCCAGGAGATGCCTGCTCTGTCACCTTAGCGAGGACAGATTTCTGCCCATCCCCTTCGTTTCAGATTGCCGTCCCCTCCCCCTCAGTTCTGGAAGATGTCTGCTCCATTCCATCGTCCCTGAAGGGTAACCGATCTTATCCCCGTTGGCCCCTTGGGTTGCTCACACCACTTCCTTCGTCCGCTCTCCCGGGCAGTGGGAAACAGACTATTCCCTCCCCATCAATTCTGGGAATGGTCGCTGAGGTTCTTTAGCAAAGACAGGCCTGCTACCCAGCCCCTAGTCCCATAGTGATGGCGCCCCTACCTCTTTCACCCCATGGGCTGTTTGCTTCTTCTTAGCCAGGGGCAAGACCACTCTGCCTTCTGCCTTCCTGGGCCAGAAGATAACAGGTTTTGTCTCCAGTGCCAGTGGTATCTTGGAATGGCCTCTCCATCCCTTTTGCCCTGAAGATTGCATCCCCCTCCCACCACCCATAGGAAACTGGCTACTCTTTCCCATCACTGCTGGAGTGCTCCCTCTCAGCAAAAATAGGCCTGCTCCCAGTTCAATGAGTATTCTGCAACTGTATCCATTTCTTCCTTGGCCCCAGAGGATATCCATTTTTGCCCATAGATCCCGTGGATTTTCCGTTGTATCTCTAGAAGCTGCTTGGTATGTCTAGTAGCCCCTTGGGATGGGATTCATCCCATTCTCTAGTCTCTCTATAAAGACCACCTTTCTAAGTTTAATTAATCATGTCCTCCACTCCCATGATCAATTTTTCCCCCTCCCTTTGCTCCTGGAGTTAGCTGCTAGCTGTTTAGCTTAGGAGACAGGATGGCCACTATCTTAGCTCAGCAGCTTCCCTGCTTCCCTCTAAGGATAGGAGCTTGGTCATTCCCAGTCCCTGTCAGTACTCTCTTCCCCATGCTTCCCCTCCCTAACCCAGGCTGTACTTCAAAGTCATTCTCCTCTCAGTAATCATCTGCTTTATCTCCCTATCCCTTCCCTGAGCAAATCTTTGGTGAAAATAGAGGTAGAGGACTGCCTATCCTTACTATAATCCTGTAAGTATTGACAGAGCATCTCATATATGTTCAGCATCTGAGAAGGGAAGGAGAAATCAGAGTGGAGTAGTGAAATCAAGCTTAAGGAATGACAACCCAAGAAAGAGGCCCACAAGACATGCTGGGGGCAGTAGAAAGGATGGATCAGGGAAGCTCTGGGACCAGTGGACCAGATCAGGCATGGAGACCTGGCAGTTCTGCCTCAGGAGTGGAGATTTTTTTCCTGAGAGGATTGAATAACCCTGAAGGTTTCCATCAGGAGTATGCTGAAACAGGAAACAGGTTTTGTTTTGTTTTGTTTAGGACAGTTAACCTTGTGACAGTACAGAAGGGATTAGCTAAGTTGAACTTGAAGGTAAGGTCAAGATTGTGGAAGGAATCCAGGTCTGGGGTGATGAAGATCTTAGCTGCTATAGTGGTAAAGTTGTAAAGGTAGAAATATTAGTAACAGTAATCCAGCAACCATTTATGGATCATCTAGTCCCTATAAGACTATGATCTAGATTTTTTAAAATGTCTATTTCATACATACAGAAACTGAAGTTCAGAGAGGTCAAGTACACTGCCTGAAGAGACACAGCTAGGAAGTAATGGAGCTGGGATTTGAATGAGTCTTGGTTAGTGTTTCCTAAAGTCTCTATTTTATACTTGTATTTTGAAATAAGGGATAGAAGAACATGAGTCCAAAGTGTTACCAGGACCTTCAGATGGGGTGCACTATTGGCATTAAAGGGGAAAGTTGGACTGAAGGCAAAATATCAAGGTGATGGTGAGTCATTTGGGAAGATAGTTGGCAATACTGCACTTGCACTTAGTACGTAGGACAATATGAGGCTCTTGCTGGTTGTTTATGTATGAATAAACTGAAGATCAAAAGATCCAAGTATGAGGCCTGGGAGTCACAGAAGAATCCAGAAGCAGGCCAAAAAGAATGCTGGGCTAAGGCCTAGAAAACAATGTTACAGGTCTCAAGAAAGGAAGATTTGAGAAGGAAAAAAATAGCTAATAAATTGTTCTTAGCCTCACAAATGACCCATTTCCAGTCCCCTTTAGAGCATCCAACCTTACCACCCCAGCCTCATAGAGTATAGATGGAAGAGAGCCAGAGGCTCCCAGGGTGGGTCTTGCCGGGATCATTTCTTAATAGCCAGTTAAGAAGGCAAGTTGGCATTGGAGAATTTGGAAAGAGTGAGGGTCCCAGAGCTGAACTTGTGAGGGCAGGAGGAGGAAGTGGGGCTTCAGAGAATCAAAGGAAGATATTTGACTTACCATGTTCCAGATCTATGCAAGACACTGTGCTGTTACTTAATTCTCACAGAAACCCATTTAAGTCTCATTACATTGCCATTTTATAGATAAAGAAAACAAAGGATCAGAGAGATCATTAACAGATTAGGGATTTGAAACTAGGTTTATATGGCCCCAATACCCCAGGCTTTTTCTATTAAACTGGGCAGGAAGTTTGATTTTTACCAGTTAGTATAAGTGTGCATCCAGAGAGGGCTCAGGAAAGGTTTACTCACAGTGAAGATGCCTGGAAGTTGGAGAGGGGAAGTGAATACTCTGTGAAACTTCAGATCCAAAATGAATCCACTGTGCTATCAGCTGGAGTAGGTTCCAAAGGACCCCCAGCTCTAACAGCCCCAATGCCCTGTCTTTTTCCCTCAGATGCTCACGTATATTCTGAGCTTCCTTCCTCTGTCAGATCAGAAAGAGGCCTCTCTCGTGAGTCGGGCTTGGTACTGTGCAGCCCAGAATGCCCTTCGGGAGGTAAGGTACCCACCCACCTGACCCATTCTCAGTTGTCTGTCACTTCAGCTTGCTCACAGTCCTGTTCATATGTCATCCATCCATCCATCCATCCATTCTGATGTACTCACACGTCCATGCATACTGGGCTTAGGGCTGGGGTTATACAGATGAATAAGATAGTTTTCTAAGGAGCTCATAGTCCCATGCAGGAGAAAGACAAGTAGCATAAATGATCATGATATCATGTGCACAGTGTTGTGGCCCTGGCATGGAAGGGTGCAACAGGGACCTGAAGAAGGATATGCAAATAAGGTTGACCAGTAATTCCAGGGAAGGCCTCCTTGAGGAACAGGGTGAAGATGAAGGTTGATTTTCCCAGACCGATAACAGCACAGATAGAGACACCAAGATGTTGAATAGTCCTGGAAATGACCACACAAGTTCCATGTGAGATACGTATGGGAGATGAGACTAAAACGGAGGCAGACTGTAAGCTGACAGATGTGCCAGACAGCAGAGTTGGGTTTTCTCCTGATTATCATCTTGGGCCCTTTAAGGAATGTTAAGGCAAGCAAGTGACAGTTTGTGACTGTATGTTAGAAGCTCTGCAGTACAGTTGGACTGGAGAGGGCAAGCTTGAAAGTAGGGAGGCAGCCTCGCCAGGAGGTAAATGCAGACCTCTTACTAGTTTGAAAGGCAAACAATAATAGCTCTTGGAACTGATTTCTTTTATGATCAGTGAGGTTCAACAGTTTTTCTCATTAGCTTACCATTTGTATTTCCCTCTTTTTTTTGTTTGTTTGTTTGTTTATTCATGTTCTTCATCCTTTTAACTGCTAGGGTCTTAGTATTTTTCTTACCCATTTGTATGAACTTCTTATACATTAAAGAGATTAATTCCTTATATATTTATTGAAATATATTTCTAATATGTTTGCCTTTTATTTTGATTGGTAGATATGTGTTTTTATTTAAGAGATGCAGAAATAAGTTTCTGTGTTGTTGTTTCTCAACATTGCTTTTCTTTTTATTTCTTCCATTGTTGTTTAAACGTAAAGATCCCTTGCCTCCTCTGAGATCTGATAAATATGCCCTCATTTTTCTTCTTTTTCTCAAAATAGACATTATTTCTTAGAGCAGTTTTATGTTGACAGCAGATTATTTCTTCTTTTTTATGATTTGAATACTTATTGGTAAAATTTATTTTCATTTATGTTATAAGAAGCTAAACTGATTAATTTTCAAATAGCCCCAACACCATCTTCCCCTTCTTAGGTTGGAACCCTCACCTGTCACATAACAAAACGTATGTATTAAGTAGGGTCTGTTGTCAAATTTTCTATCCAGTGTCAGTGATTTTAGTATCTGAGGGTATCTGACTTTCGACTTACTGAAAAATTGAAGTGTGAGATATTTAGATAGTGCAATCCAGTTAGTAGTTCTGAGTGAGGAATTTAAGAGAAAGGTCTGGGTAATGAGTATAGAATTGGGTGTCATTAAAGAATTGGCTAGGGGCCGGGTGTAGTGGCTCATGTCTGTAATTCCAGTGACTTGAGAGGCGTGGAAGATCATTAGTTTAAGGCCAGCCTCAGCAACTTAGCAAGGCCCTAAGCAACTTAAAGAGACCCTGTCTCAAAATAAAAAATAAAAAGGGCTGGGGATGTGGCTCAGTGGTAAGGCACCCCAGGGTTCAATCCCCGGTACCAAAAAAAAAAAAAAAGAAAGAATGTATGGATCTGGGGGTGTAGCTCAGTGGTGGAACACACTTACTTAGTATTTATGAGATCCTGGGTTCTATTTTCAGCAAAACGAAAATTTTTAAATGGATAGAAATGAAGCCATAGATCTGAGTAACCTCCCCCAGGGAAAACATGAAGAGCCAGAGAACAGCAGGCAGGTCATAGCAAATGCTCCAGAGGGAGGATGCCAGTCCAAGGCACAGCAAGGAAGAGACATCTCTATTGAAGTGACTGAGGAGATTCCAAAGAGGAGGGCATAGAGTCCAAGATAGGAGAGCTTTAAAGGATCAGGTGGATGATTAATGGTGTCAAATGCCATAAAGAGTTCAGAAAATTTTTTAAAAATAGTGTCCATAACATTTGATAACCAAGGGACTACCAGTGATTTCAGCAATATTTAGTATCTAGTGGGGAGGAAAAGCCAGGCAAGCTGAAGAATGAATGAGAAAAGAAAGGAAGTGTAGATAGAGAGTGACCTCATTTGTAAGAAACTTCCCCTTGGAAGAAAGGAAATAAATTGGGCAGAAACAAGAGGTTGAGGTGGACTTGACAAAGTAATTTTGATTAGGAGAAATCTCAAATGTGTCAAATGAGGGAGAAAGTCCATAGAGGAGGGATGTATGTAGGCAGAAGAGAGATTAGGAATAGTGGGTGCCACCTGACGTGGTAGCAGGGATAGGCTTAGTGCACTAGGCTTGGTCTTGCTTAAGAGGCAGAGATGCCACCCCTTCCTGAGGAAGCAGAGCCATGGGGATGGAAACATGGAACTATCTGTGGAGGAAGTTCCTCAGAAGCATCTAGTTCCTTAGTGGCCACTTGGATTGATGATTTTGGGGGCCAAATTGTCATAAGATCGTGAAAAGAGAGATAGAGGCCAGGGCCTCATCAGAGGACTTTAGAATAGTCACAGGGCAAAAGGAAGACTGAAAATTATCAGAGACTCACTCACATGTTTCTGTTAGTGTCAAGCACTGTGCTGGTCACTGAGGAGGCAGAAGTGAGGAAGATGTGGTGCTCTGGAGTTTGGGAGGGGGAGAAAAACACAAGCAAAAAGGGACTAGGGTGTTGCATTTGGAGTCTGTGCAAGGCAAATGGGGGATGCAGAGAAAAGATCCAGAAAAGAATTCATGGAGAAGAAGACACTCAGCCTGGAACTCAAGGTGGGGATAGAGCTGGGGGTATAGAGTGCTTGCCTGGCACCTGGGATGACCTGAATTCAACTCCCAGCACCACAAAAAGAGAGAGAAAGAGGAATAAATATTTTCCAAATAGACAAATAGGAGTAGGTGAGGGGTGAGACCCATCAAAACACAAAGTAGCTGACTGGAAGCATGGCAGGGTAAGACGGTGGTCAGAAGTGGGAATTCCCAGAGCTGGCTAGGAGAAAAGGAGAGTGGACATGCGGAGAGGTGGGCTGAGTTAGGCTGCCTTCTGATACAGAAGGGTTTGAATGACAGCTAGGAAGCTTAGCCTCTCCTGTGGATGGGGGGACCTGGCAGAAGGTTTGAAGAGCACAGTCAGATTTGCTTTTTGGTAGGGGTCATCTTGGTGAAAAGATCAAAGATGGTTTTAGAGTCAGAGACACTAGAGGCTAGAATTGTGAGAAGAAAGCTTCTGTGACATATTCCTAACAGACAATAAGGGAACCCGAACTAAGGCAGAAGCAGTGAGGTTGGAGCAGAAAAACATACCTCAATATATCAAATAAATGGAATGGAAGAGACTTTAATCATTATGGATGTGAGAGGTGAGGGTACCTTAGTACAGGGAGGTAACAATTTAGGAGGAGGAATAGCAGTAGCTCATACCTGTAATCCTGGCAACTGGGGAGGCTGAGAAAGGAGGATCACAAGTTTGAGGTCAGTCACAGCAGCTTAGCAAGATCCTGTCTCAAGTTGTTAAAAAAAGGACTGGGGATATAGCTCAGCGGTAAAGCACTCCAGGGTTCAATACCCAATACCAATAATAATAGTAGTAATAATAATATCAACAATAACAAAATAATAATAATTTGAAAAAAATAGCCTGACACAGTGGCACACACTTATAATCCCAGTGACTCTAGAGGCCAGCCCCAGCAACTTAGCTAGACCCTCAGCAACTTAGCAAGACCCTGTTTCAAAATAAAAAAGAACTGGGGATGTAGCTTAGGTAACTCTGGGGTTATCTAGAGCGAAGTCCACGAAGCAGTTGGCTCCTAGGGCCTGGGATTCAGGAAAATGATGCAGATCAGAAAGAAAGTAGTTAGAAAGATTGCCCCATGGGGTGAAGTATATTATGCTCAGGGGCACACAGAAGAGGACAAAGATTGTGTATCCTCTGACATACAAGTGCCACTGATACACTTGCATGTCTATGACACATGCATGCTATCAGGTGAGACAAACCAGAAGGAACTCACTAATCTGTGGACTGGGTCTGCCATCCAGGTACTAACTAACGTCCAAGATCAGGCATATTCAGGGTGATATGGATATGGACTGGACTGGGTCTCTCTTCTTTGGTGAGAAGAGACTCCCAAAGCAGAAGCAGGCTGGAAAGTTACAGGAGAGCCAGGAAGGCAGTCTCAGAACCCCCACTAGGAAGTAGTGTCAAAGGGAATGGCTCCTGACCATCCATAGCAGATGGCATGGCAGAGAGGACACTGAGAAGGGAACTCCAGGATTGTTGGTGATCTTGCTGGAGGGAAGCTGTTGCCAGGAATGGGTGACTGTGTGGGGGCTGTGGTAAAGAGTGAATGAATGAGGCAAGGGAGAACTAGATGGCCAGATACAGATGTGGGTGTGCCCTTGTGCCTCCAAGGGCTTGACTACAAACAGAGAAATAGAAGTGAGGAGAGGATAAAGGGAGCTTGTGTGATTTAAGACTGTTGTTATTTGTGGGTTCTGAGGAAGGAGCAGTAGAAAGGCAGAAATGGCAAGCTTCCCAGAAGTGAAGGTGGGAATAGCTTAGCAGACCAAAAGAAGGGGGTTGACTACAACCCAAAGGACAGTAGAGGGAAGGAAGGGGTTCTGCCAGGAGGCAGTTGGTGGACATGACAGGGAAAGGGGAGAAACCTTGCAACTGATGGCTTTGGTTTCTTTTTAAAGCAGAACAGGTCATCTCTGAGAAGGTTCAGTGAGGGGGGGTCTCCTGCAGGAGGCTCAGAGATGAAGATGGTGGACTTGGGGAGAACTCTTGTGGGGACAGGAAAGGAGGCAGGATGGAGGAGGCTTATGCTGGGGGTGTAGGAAAGAGGGAATACCCTGGCTTTCTCTGTAGCATTCTGTATCCCCAGTCTATTAGACTCCAAAGAGGCAGTTGGCCTCATCATCTGTGGCCAGGCAAGGAGAGCAAGCTCAGCAGTGTGAGGGAGGCAAGCGGTAAGCCCTGAAGAGGAGCAGTGGAGGGGTAAGACTCATAGAGGCCAGTAAAGGAGAAAAGGGCAGAGGAGGCAGAGGGGGCAGTCAAGCCCCTGGGTGTAGATGAAGTGGAGGAGGAGCAGGGAGGAAGAGAGAAGGAAGCTAGGGTCAGCAGCTGGAATCCTGGAGTCCACCAATATAGCACAGGGCTGCTCCAGCTAACCAGAACCTCCAAAATGTTGATTAAGATTTATTTGGGCCAAATGCAGTGGTGCACGCCTGTAATCTCAGTGGCTCTGGAGGCTGAGGCAGCAGAATCGTGAGTTCAAAGCCAGCCTCAGCAAAAGTGAGGCACTAAGCAACTCAGTGAGACCCTGTCTCTTAATAAAAAACAAAATAGGGCTGGGGGTGTGGGTCAGTGATAGAGTGCCCTGGCACCCCGCACCACAAAAAGATTTATTTGATACCCCTGCAAAGCTCAGTCCCACTGGGCTGGGGGCACTGGGAGGCCAGGCCACAGGCACCTAGGCATCCAGGGCCCTGCCCACACCTCAGCACTACCATATTCCAGAAAACAATCTGCATAACCCCGTGGACAGGAATCATCTTTCAGAGCCCAGGTGTAGGCAGGTTGATGAGAAGGCAGTGCCCCAGCTACTGTGTTGTGGAAGACACTGGCCTACCAAGGCCAGGCCAGGGCCTGTGTCCTACCAGGCCAGGATAGAATGCTGAATTTAGTGACTTCTTATTCCCCTTGACCTGATCCACTGTTCACTTACTTCCAGTTTGTCTCACTGCAGGCAAGCGTAGCAGCCCACACACACCCAGGCCTTGCCCATGCCCTGGGGAACCCTGATTGCTGCTACTGAATTGATCACTGTGGAGCAAGAATGAAAAACAGCTCAGCTTCTGCCTTCCACTGTCCTTTCCTGCCCCAGTTGGCCTCTGTGTGAGGGGTGGCTGAAGCTGGAGCAGGTGACCTTGCAGTCTCCCCTCTGACCTCTAGAAGCATCTTCCTGGGCAAAGGAAGAGCTAAAGTTCAGATCCCAGGAGCCTTGTTTTCACATGCTGCCATACTCCCCAAAGAGATAAATTTCCCTAAAAGGCTCTTCCTGGGCTTCTACACTTAAAGTCCAGCTAAACTCAGGAGCAGGATAGGCCTCTGGGTGAAGGCTTAGAGGCTGCCCCCACCCTACCAATGAAAACAGTATGGGACCACAGTTAGTCATAAGCCTCCTTCCTAATAACTGGAAGTCCTCAGGCCATGCCCTGCCCATTTTGGGGGTGGGTTTTTGCTGCCAGCAGCAGGTGTGGCCTAGCCCTGGGATGACTGCCAGTGCCCTTCCTTGGCTGCTTGTCCACCTTGTTCATAGGGAGGTAGTGGGAAAGGAAACATTACTGACTACTCAGGCTCTGAGGAGGGGGAAAGAGGCTGAGCACTTGTGTCTTCTGGGGGCCTGCAGGGATCTGGGCTTCTCAGTCATATGTGAGTGGTGGGGGCAGGTGCTGGCTGAGCCACCTAGCTGCTCCCAGCTCCCCTAGCCCTAGTTTATTCAGCCTCAGACTGACTCATCTCATGTAGGGTTAGGCAGTGGCTGGAGGCATAATTTTCCTTTCTTTTCTACAAACTTCTCTCTATGATCTTTTCATCTCCTTCCCTAGCCTCACACACTGGAATCTTCTCCAGTTCTCCTTAAATCTGAAAAAGAGACCCAGGCCCTTGGGAGTCCCCACTATCCCCCCACCATAAGGGGATCTGTGGTGAGTGCCCCTTTCACTAGGAAGGACCATGATTTGGAAGTGTGGTCTGGAAGGAGAACCTAGCCAATCTACTGTGAGAGAAACCAGGAACTAGTACCCATCTCTATGCATGTTCCTTCCTACCACTGTAGCCTTGGGCAGCTGCCTCCACCTGGGGCAGAACCCACTTAGGAATGGGTTCCATGCTTCCTGGGAGAGTCCTATCAATAAGGTTTTGCAAGAGCCCATCCAGTGTCAATTCTGCCTTTCTCATTTCCTTTGGTGCTGTTTTGTGGGGTACAATCAGGGGACAAAGGCTTGTTTTTATAGTTACTGAAAAGGTAGGTATTTTGAGGAGCTAGCTCTCCTGTATTAGGACCTTGTTGATGCTAAAACAAGAGCCTTCTTTGAGTTCTGTGTGCCTGAAACCTGGGCAAGAGGTAGAGGAACAGGGCTAGAATTTTAAAAGCTAAGCCAATTCCCCACTCTGTTCCTTCCCCTCCCTCTCTTCTCCACAGACCTATTCCACACAAATTGTACTGACTTCCCCTTGGCTCCCTCTGGCACAAGGTCAGGGAAGGTTCATGAAAGACTCTCCCTTAGCCAGAGGCTCCCAAACTCCTATTCAAGCCAACTTATTCTTACCACTTAGCCTGAGCTCATGTCTTGGGTCCCACCCTAGTCCAACTATGCACTCCCCATTCTCTCTTCCCTGCTTCTCTGTGGCAGAGCCAACTCAACTTCGTTGGTACCTCTGAGACTTGTTAAATTATTAAATCCAGCCCCCACAAAATGGGAGGCTTATCCTTCCTCACCTGGAGAGATAGATGTGTGTTCCAGAGTTGTGCCACAGAGATTCTTCAGGGCCCAATTCCAGGCAACCTTACCTATGTTAGTTTGTGCCTGTGTGTGTGTGTGTATGTGTGCGTGCACATACACAGACACACACACACACACAAAAACCCTTTTTGTTGTTGTTGTTGGGTGGTAGAAATGCATACCTGTAATATCAGCTAGTTGGAGACTTAGGCAGGAGGATTGAAGGTTTGAGACCAGCTTGGACAACTTAAACCCTGTTTCAAAATATTAGCTGGGACGGGCATGGTGGCGCACACCTATAATCCTGGAGCTTGAGGCAGGAGGATCACAAATTCAAGGCCAGACTCAAGAACTTAGGGAGGCCCTAAGCAATTTAGCTCTTAAATAAATAGACCCTCTAAAAATAAAAATAAAAAAAGGGCTGGGGATATGACTCAGCACTCTTGGGTTCAATTCAAATTTTTTTTTTAAAGCTGGGTGCAATGGCATATTCCTGTAATCCCAACACTTTGGGAGGCTGACACAGGAGGTTTGCAAGTTTGAGACTAGCCTTGGCAACTTAGTGAGATCTGGATTCAAAATTAAAAAATGAAAAGAACTGGGAATGTAGCTTAGTGGTAGATCATCCCTATTACTCAAATAAAAGTGGGAGGGGAACTAGGGGTGTAGTAGTTCAGTGGTGGAGTGCTTGCCTAGCATGCATGAGGCCCTGAGTTCAATCCCCAGTACTAAAAAATAATAATTATACAAACATTCATGTGCCTGAGACACTGCCTGCCCTAGACCTCTGGCACATGGGCCACAGAGAGTTGTGGTGAGTAGTGCCCACTTCACTTCTTCCTTTTTTTTTTTTCTCTTTTTTTTTTTCTTCACTTCTTCCTATCTTCAGCTGTTCTTGAGGCTCTTTATATGGTCTCTAAAAAGGGGTCATGGGGAAGCTGGTTGCTTAGCTAATACAGTTCTTGGAGTAGGAGGCTGAGTCCATGAATCTCAGGGCTTCCTTCTCAGGGCTTCCTTCTGAGGTACCAAAGGTTAGGGACCAGCATATTTTGTTCTTCTACCCTGTGTAGTTTCACTGGGCTTCCTTCCAGGTCATATCACAGCCCTCCTGTGCTCAGCATGCAAATTCCCCATTCTGTTCCTTCCCCTCCCTCAGCATCTAGCCCTGTCCTTCACGAGCTTTTCAGGCCTGCCCTTGGTGGTCATCTCCAAACCCCAGCAGGACATGCCTTCCCAGCTCCCACTTCCTACCCACACTCCCCACCCACACTCCCCTCAGCCACACATGACCCTATACCATGGTAGGTCCTCACTGTGGAAAGGCCCTTCCTGACCTGTCATCAACTTCTGGTCAGAGGGCTAACCCCAGGCCTGCTTCTGCCCTTTAGACAAATGTGCGGTACAACATCCCAGTGTCTTCTGCCTCCCTTTTGGCCATCAAGAGTTTGGGCCTCAGGGGCATCTCCTGCATCAGCCTGACCAACCTGGATGGCTCACCAACCTCGCACCTGGTGCTGCAGTCTGTTGCCTACCACCTAGGCCCACACCTGCAGAGCTTGTGCCTGGGTGGGGGCAGTCCCACAGAGGCTTCCTTTGTGGCCCTGATCCTGGGATGCCCAGCTCTGCGCACCCTTGACCTCAGTGGTTGCAACAGCCTCTTCACATCAGGCACACTATTGGCTCAGCCAGAGATGGCCCAGCGTGTCCGGCAGGCATTGAGTGGCCTGCGCGAGCTCAAGCTGGCTTGCCTGCGGAACCTGTCCGATCTCAGCTTCAACCAGCTCAGCAGCTGTGTCCCCAGCCTGGAGCGCCTCTCCTTGGCCTATTGCCACCTCAATTTTGAGCTGAGCCCAGCTCAGGGTTCCATCAACCCCCAGGACGACTCTCCCTCCCAACTCTCCTTCCATAACCTGCTGCGATTTGTGAAAGAGCGAGCTGGCAAATTGCGGGCCCTAGATCTGAGTGGCACTGGCTTACCACCTGAGGCCCTACATTCCCTGGGCCAGGTAGCTGGGCTGCAGCTGCAGGAGCTGAGCCTGCACAGCTGCCGGGACCTTTCCACAGAGGCTGTGGCCACCCTGTGCCGCCAGCAACCAGGTCTTACCTCCCTGGACCTCAGTGGCTGCTCAGAACTGACTGATGGGGCACTCTTGGCCGTGAGCCGTGGCCTGCAGCACCTGCAGCACCTCAGCCTGGGAAAGCTGCAACGGCTGACAGATGCAGGGTGTACAGCCCTAGGGGGCCTGCGAGAGTTGCAGAGCCTGGATATGGCTGAGTGCTGCCTGGTGAGCGGGCGGGAACTGGCCCAGGCCCTGGGCTCAGTGAGTGGAGCTCCACCCCCACTGACCTCCCTCAGGCTGGCATACTGCTCTTCGCTGAAGGTGAGCATACCATGCCCCCCTTCCTCCTAGGGTGGGGCTTGGGGAGCTGGGTCTCTGGCCCCAGGGAGGAACTACCCAGTATTTATGTCCAAAGAGGAGTAGTTCAAGTTGAATTTGGGTCATAGTCTGCAAGAAGACAAGAACCTAAGTGGACAGTGCTGCTGGCATGCCTCCCCAGAGCCCATTTGGGGCCCAGGCAGAGTGAGGTCCAAGACACCACAAGTGATCTGGCCCATGATGTGGCCCATCATCTCACATGCCACTGGACTTCTGGCAGGTGACACTCTATCCCCCACTTCAACCCCACAGTTCTGGTTCAAATTCTAGCGGTAGCATATCTGATTGGCTCAGGGAGGGTCAGCTGTCCACCCCTGACCCAATGAGCTATGGTTAGAGTGCTGTCTCAGCTCACCCCTTCAGAAAGGGCAGGGAGAACAAACTGGGCAGCTGCCTTAGAAATTTCCATCTGCTTCCTTCCTGCCCCAATCATAGACTTTTGTCCTTTAGCAACCCCCTCTAAATCTCCCACCCCGACAATCTACCCTGTCCATTTCCAAACTTTCAATCCAACATAGGAACCATGTTACTTCTTTCCTTGGACCTTCTGGCAGCTCCCTGTTGCTAGTGGGTAAGAACCTAGGGCAGGCCCTTGCTGATGACCCCACCACGCCTGGTGGCACAGGAACAAGCTGCTCCTCTGTGCTCTCCTCCCTACCTCACTTCCTCCTAGGATGCCTCAGTGCTTTCTCTGATCCCAGCACTGGGCCCAAGCCTTAGAGTGCTAGACTTGTCCTCCTGTATGGCCCTCTCCAATCGGACCCTGCAGGCCATCTGCACCTACCACACCCACCTCTCTGTTCTGCGCCTGGCTTGGTGCAAGGAGCTCTGTGATTGGGGGCTTCTGGGGCTGGAAGAATCAAGTGAAAAGCCTGCACTGTGTCCCCAGGTATGAGGCCCTCAAAGTCAGGAAGGGTGGGATGGTCTGTGAACTCAGCTACTTTCCTGCCTCTCCCTCTAAGATTATTTAAGGGCAAACTCAGGAAGAACCTGAGAAGCAGAGATTTCTCCTCACAGCTATGCCCAGAGCTGGAGTATCAGGCCTCAGGTCCTGAGGATGCTTCTCCCAAGCCACAGAGTTCATCCCTGCTCATACTGCAGGCCCTGCAGGAGTTGGACCCGACAGCCTGCAGCAAGCTGACTGATGCCAGTTTGGCCAAGGTGTGGATAGGCTGGGGATCCTGGGGCTGGAGGCAGGGAACTGGGCCAACTCACATTTTGGAAAAAAAGTTCCTTGGAGTTCCTTTCTCCTAGGCTTCTGGCTACTCCCTTTACTAAAGGCAGAGAAACTGGAAGGTTTCTGGGCTCCAGTATCATGCTCCATCTACCCTATCCTTGCAGGTACTGCAATTCCCCCAGCTGAGGCAGTTGTCACTGAGCCTATTGCCAGCACTCACAGACATGGGCTTGGTGGCAGTGGCCAGAGGCTGCCCCAGCTTGGAACACTTGGTGCTGAGTCATTGCAGCCACATCAGCGACGAGGGCTGGGCCCAGGCAGCGGGGTCCTGGCCAAGGCTGCAGCACCTCAACCTGTCCAGCTGCAGTCAACTCACAGAGCAGTGAGTGTGTATTATGATGCTGAGCAGATGGAGCCAGGTGCAGTGGCTGGGCTGGGACCCCATGCTGCATCAAGCACTCATCTGGTAGTCTCCCCACAGAACTCTGGATACCATTAGGCAAGCATGCAAGCAGATCCGGGTATTGGACGTGGCCATGTGCCCGGGTATCAACGTGGCAGCTGTCAGGCGCTTCCAAGCTCAGCTGCCTCAGGTGACTTGTGTCCAGTCCCGCTTCGTGGGAGGGGCTGACCTGACCCTAACACTCTGAGGCCAGGTCAGTAACCATCCCTGTAACACAGCCTTCTTCATCCCCATAGTCCTAACCTGGGCTCCTGGACCTCGATTATGCCCCAGTGCCTCTTACCTCCTTTTGCTATAGACCTCCTATCTAGGTGTGGTGATGGGACCAACCCAGGGCATCCCAAGAGACTTCCTGCCCCACAGTCAAGCAGCAGTGGCTTTCCAACTACATTTCACTGCCTTGGGCCCATGGGAATGCCAGCTACATGTTGCTGCCACAGGGTTCTGTTGTCCCTGCCAGGAGGCCAGCCCACAGGCAGACTGAGCATGGAGCTGGGGAGCAGCTCCCCACAGGCAGAAGGGATTTTGAGGTTCCACAAGGACAGAGGGTGCATGTGTACCTTCTGCTCCCTCCCCGATTTCTCAGACCTAGAGCATGTGCTCCACCTGCTCCCTAGGCATATTCTTCCAGAACCTATAAGCACTGCAGCAGCCAAGCCACCAACTTTGCTGTAAATCCAAACAAGATTAAAAATTTAAGATTTTACTTCTTGCCTGAAGTTTTCAGATGAAAGGGCCCTTTCCCTCCCTACTCAGTTGACCCAAAGCCTTACAGACACCCTTTTAGTGACCTCAAGGCTGATCCATACTGGCTGAACTCAACCAGGTCCTAGCTTCTTCCCTACCTGGTAGGAAAGTCCAGAGGCCTAAAGGCTTTTCCCAGCACAACCTTCTTGGGTGTGCCTTAAAGCAAACGCACTGTGCCAAGCCAAGCCCTTGGAGCAATTGATGATGATGCCTGATTCAGTGAGGCCATCTTGATAAGTGGTGGAAAGAAAGGAAAGAAATAGGACAGCATCTCTGAATAGAGGGTCATTAAAGGTCATCTAGTTTAACCACCTAAATAGTACCAGTGACTTCTCAACAGCAGCTCTGAAAAACATCTGTCAAGCTGACCCTCCATGTGTCCCCATACTTTGTCCATCTATCTTCTTATCAGTTCTAGGAGCAGCTGGCAAATGCTCTTCAAATGCCTACAGGCAAATGCCTACAGGCATTGTGCTTCATGTGGGTTTTCAGAGATGCCAAAACTCTCCCAGTGCCCAGGCCTTAGGGAGGCAAAAAGCCAACATGGACAGTCCAGTGTACAAGGTATGTATGAACAGAGAAAGAAGCACCTGGGACCACAAGCCTAGGGAAGCAATGAACTTGACCTGGAGGGTCAAGGAAAGAATCAAGACAGAAATGGGCAGAAGGGACTTTGAGGTTCCACAATGACAGAGAGTACACATAGGCCCTGATGGTGTTCAGGGAGAATGTCAGCTTGGACCAAGCTCTGAGAACCCTGCAGGCCACAGGCATTCAGTTGGAAGGGCTAAAAACTACATATCTGCTATCCTTGTGGCTCAAGTTAGTGCCCACTCATGGTAACTCTTGACTATTAGCCCATGAATAATAGAGAAACACTGAAGAATATAAAGTGTGTGCACTTGTGTGTGTGTGTGTGTGTGTGTGTTCAAATCTGATTCAAGAAAACATCTGTAGTAGCAGGTATTGAGATGACTGAAAGAACAAGACTAGAGGCTGGTAGTCAGTAGGTTATTGCCTGATGGTGGCATGGACAAGGGAGTAGAAACATTGAGAAAGAAGAATTGGCAGTATTGGAAGACTAACTGCATCTGGAATCCCTGTCCTCCCATTTCCAACTTGAATTCAAGAGCAAACTGTTTTAAGCATGGTGGAAATCTCTGAATCTAGGCATGGGCATCCTGGCTGCCCAAGGATCAAAAGTGTAACTTAGGGGGGCAAATGCTCCCCCAGCATGTTCTCCATAGGAGATGCCATTTCATCTGCTTTCAAGGTGAAACACTGATGGTTAACACTGTTCAACACAATCTTTGAGGAGACACTGGGAAGGAGAAATAATGAGTGGCATGGAGAAGGAAATCAGGATGGTGGTAGCTTTCAGCCTGCCCTGTGGGTCCCATGGGCTGCTGTGCTCTACTCTGCCTCAGTGGCTTGGAGGCTGTGGCCACAGCCTCCAGCTGGGCCCAACACACTTTGCCTCATCTGCCCAACACCTCTCACCTATATACAGCCCCCATGTCATTCATGCTCCTAAGTTAGGTTTTCATCAGAACTGTGCAGTGCTTCCTGCACAGAGTTCCCTCTTGTCCAGATCAGCCCATATACTCCCTCAAGCCTGGGGATGCCCTTTGGAATCTGAGCTTGTCCTTCAGCAGAAAGCAGGCCCAGTTTTACATCTGTCCCTTTACTACCTGTCACCAGAGGCCTCCAAGTGCCACAAAGAACATGGGCCAGAGCCAAGCAGGGATGAAGACTGAGGTAAGATTGTCAGGAGCTTTCTGGAAGCAGAGCTTCTAGACTATGGACCTATTAATGCTTCCCAGGAAACATCCATTTAGGGCATTGTCTCCTGGCCTGCTACTTCTCTCAGCTAGTTCAGATAAGAACTCATCTGGAAGAAGGGCAACAGCCCCAACCTATCCCAATCCAACTTAGAGCGCAAGCCCCCCAAATGTAGCTGCTCAAGTTTGCAGTCCTACCTTGTTGTCGTATCTCATTCACTAAATTTGAAGTCAGAGGATGACTCTCGTGGCTTGGCCTACAAGGTTCACAGCTAGCTTGACACACACCTAAGAGCCAAGCTGACTTTATTTTTTCCCATGCTTCTCTAGCCTCCACCCCTTGTGGCTGGCATAGGGGTGGCAGCTGTGGCCCCTGGCCAGCTTGTCAAGATTCAATAATGCTGCAGTCATAGCAGAAATTGAAGTTGGTGGGGGGTGGGGGCACAGGTGGTGGCTGCTCGGGGATGGGCACATTCTCTAGCTCCAACAATCGCAGCTTGGTCTCCATTGTCAACAGCTGCTCCAGGTCCAGCCGGGTCTGCTCACTGCCCATAGGGCTGCCTAGCAGGGCATTCAGCCCATCTGTCCACAGATAGTACTGGGGACGATGGGGCCAGCTTCATGAGAGACTGTTCAATCTGCTCCCCTACCCATCTGCTCCACTCAGCCTCACCCAGACACTCACATCACGTTTGGAGGGGGCAATGAAGTTGAGGTATGCCTCCTCCTCCCCGTGGTCATAGCTGATGGAGAAAGCCAACTCATAAAGATCCTAGGGAAGCAGAAAGCAGGGACATTGAGCATGGACTAGTGCAGGCAGGCAAAAGGAAGCCGCTGGTCCCACTATATATACCTTGTTCTGCTTCCCGGAGCCCTTCTCCCGGACATGGGGGCAGTCCTTGCCTGTCAGGAGTGCCCTGATGTCAACAACAGGGACTGCAAGAAGAAATACTGGGCTGATCACTGGGGCCCCGGACAGCCCTAGGGCATGGGGCATCTGGAGAGAGCAGGTATTAGACCCCTGGCTGCTTACTCTGCTCGGGCAGGCTCTCTGGGGTGGGTGGGTTGGTACCTTCCTCTACATCCCCATACTGCAGCACCTTGTGGTTTGGGGACAAGCAGCAGAACCACAGCTTGTCTGTGCAGAGAACAAGGAAGAGGGAAGGAAGGAATGATGAGAGGGGGCCCTGGGACCAACCCAGCTACCCTCTGCCTCTCCTCAGCACACTCAGAGACCCTGGCGCCTCCTGCTGCTGATCTTGCGGAAGAGAGTCCCCTCGCAGAGGCGGAGCAAACGCTGCTGGCGGATCAAGCTCATGAGCTCTGGCTTCAGCTTCTCCCTCAGCTCTCTGGGTGGGAAGTGGGGAGTCACAGATCAGGACTGACCTGGGGCACCTTAATAGGTGGGAGCTGGCACTGGAAAGCCATTCTACCAACTCACAGTATGGGAGGGGCCAGTGTGCCCTCCTGGTGCAGTCGCTCTGTCTGCCTCAGCCGCAGCACCTCCCCGTAGGTGAGCGCGTTCACCTTGGTTCGGAAGAGCTCCAGGGACGTAGGCTTCAGGGCCAGTGTACGAGCCAGCTGTTCCCGTACCACCTGCATAACCTGGGGCCACCCTAAGCTCAGCTTGGGACCTGAGCTCTGGGGCCCTCCTCAGAGCAACCTCCTTCCTTGACCTCCCAGTCCTCCCACCCCACCCCACTGACCTTGTCAAAATCTTCCTGTGTTGCCCTCATCTCTTTCCAGGTCTTATTTAGCAGCTGGATGGCCACACAGAAAAACTCATGAAAACTCTGGTCCTGTCCGAAGAACATGGGCGAGAAGTCCTGGGCTGTCTCGGAGCCTGGAGCGGGGGGGCAGGAGGGGCTCAGGGAGAAGGTGTGTGCAGCCCCTGGCCCTCTCTGCCCTTCCGTCCCCTGTCCCCAGATACACTGCCCAGCTCCACTCACAAGGTTCCCCAACACGGAGCAGCTCACACAGTAGCACAGTCAGCTGGATGCTGCTCCGGGCAAAGGGACACTCATGTTTGTCCTCCCGGCTGCTGTTTTCCAACACGAACTGGGGTAGTGGGAGCAGAGAATGGGACAGTCTTGGCTAAGCCCACAGGGATCCTGCCAAGGTGAGGCTACTGCCATCCCCACTCCCCTACCCGGTAACTGACCCGGCTGTATGCACTGGGTGCATGTCTGGAGAAGTACAGCATGTTGTCCAGGGCCAGCAAGCCTGGGGGCACACGTTCCAGGTCCTGCGCAGGGTTGCTGTTCTATGGGTGGGATTACTTGCACTCAGAAAGGGCCATAGCCTCTGGTATAGTCATAGCCTGAATGGAGGCCAAGGTGGGGACTTGGGGTAGGGGTCACTCACAGAGAAGCCCAATTTGCGGAATTCTCGGGCACAGAGTGAACGTCGACGGTCAGCACTCAGCCCCGTGCTCAAGGACTCCCCTTCCAGTTCAAAGGCAGCCTGGCGCAGGGCCTGCAGCTGTTCCCTCTGCTCCTGGGGTCATTATTGGGGGAAACAATATCATAGATTTAAGGTCAAGCTTCAAGCTATCCCAAGCTTCAAGCTGTGCCCCACCCACCTCCAAGACACACCTGGCTATAGGGGTCAAGTGGTGTCCGCATGCGTGGCTCCAGTAGCCCCAGTGTAAGGGCCTGCAGCACATACAAATGATGGGCCATCTCATCACCCAGTGGTGTTGCACTATGGATGATGTTCTGGAGGAAAGACAGACAGACAAAGGGTTTGAGGCGGGCTTACTGGGAGAAGAGGCGTGGGAGGGGTTTCCCTAGTTTCCTACCTTGTAGATGAACTGGCGAAGGTTTCTCTGCCACAGGTAGTCAAGCATGTGCTGAGGCGGATGGGAAGGGGAATTAAATGATTTAATACTGGGGTGGAGCACAATGCCCACCAGCTGATCCCTCCAAGCAGCTACCATATAGATAGATACCTTCCTTTCTGTAGGGTTGGCCCCCTGCAGCAAGGCTGTAAGCAGGGCCATTGCCTTGGTTTGCAGCTGCTGGTTCATCCTATAGCAGAGGAGGGGTGGGCTCAGCTTAACACCCAGGATCTCATCATGCTCCCCCATCTATACCTCACCCCAGAGCTTACACCTGCAGGTGCACCAGTAGCCTATCCAGTGGCACCTCACTCTTGACCAGCTGGCCCAGGGCAGGGCTGCTCAAGGTCACACTCTCCAGCAGCCGAAGGGCCAGGGGCTGCACAGAAGCATCCATCAGGTTCATGTTCACATAGCATACCACCTGTAAGAGGGGTAGGGTATTGTTGCCACCTGACCACCACAAGGGGCAGACCCTGGCACTGCCCAACTGCCCTACCCACATCCCCTAGAAAAGCCCACCCACCTTCCTGACAAAAGGGATGCTGAGCGTCTCCCAGGACACCACACCGTGCTCCATAAGCTCCAGGAAGGCCTTCAGCCCGAGGGCTAGCACCTCTCCTAGGCTGGGGTGGGGGGCACATTTGGGGCTGAGCAGGACCAGACCAGGCCCCCCAAGCCCTACCATGTCTCCATCCCTCCACAGCCCTGTGCTCACTCGTCCCCATCCTCAATGATGGTGCCTAGTCTCTGAAGCCCATCACGGCTGATGACCTCCTGGGCAAAGGTCATGTCTGTGGCCAGCAGAACCAGGTGCCTCAGGGCTTCCTGGCGCACTTCTCGACTTGGACTCTGCAGCCCACCCAACAGCTTCTCAGCCTCAAGGTCCTGGCAGGAGTGGGAAGAGAGCACAGGTGGAGTTTGGAAAATTAAGGACTGGAAGAGTAGGAACCCAGATTTCCACTAGGTGGGGCACTGCTGAGCTGGGGCCAGACCTAGGGCAGAGGCCACCAGGCACTTTAAAGGAGTGCAGTAGAGAGGCAGGCAAGAGAAGATGGGGCCAAGAGGGGCATTACTGGGGCAGTGCTGAGGCACAGGATGCTGCCATTCTTGATCTCTCCGCGGTTCTGCAGAAAACAGCAGAAAGGGGAAACACAGTCAAGGAGAGTTCTGAGGGTGATCAACTGGGTTGTCAGGATTAGGGGATCAGTGAAATTCACTTTAGGAGAGGGGGAGGATGAGTCTGCAGAATCAGGGCCAGGTGGGTTAGAGAGGTCATAGGGTGGAGCATGGGGGCTGGAGAACAGGGGGACTAACATTCTCAGTGATGTATCTCCTGTGCCCATCAGCAAACTGCAGGGCGTACCGCTCCGAGTGAGTCAGGCTCCACCTGCGGGTCACAGAGCTCAGGGAGGCAGGTAGGAGGCTTCCTCCCACTTGCCCCTCCCCCACCCCTTGCCGGCCCACCGGACTCACGCGTCGCACACCTCCTTCAACACAGCGGCCAGGGGTTTTGCCTGCAAGTGGAGCTGTCATTCACGTGGCGGGAGTGGGGAAGAGCTGGGGGATGGGGGGCTGAATAAGGAGGGCTGAGCTGACCCGAGGGAAACGGGTGACCCCAGAGGTGGGCAGTGGGCAGGAGGCCGGACAGGCCGGATGACCTGGTCCAGTTGGATGAGCTGTGGGATGGCGTCACGCATCTGGACAGCAATCTTCACCACATTCCGTGGGGGCGCCATGGTCCAACCCAGCCGTGGGTGCCTGCACTTTCCACGAAATGTGCCACCTCCTGCTGAGGGCGCACCTGCCCCGGAGTCCCTGAGGACGAGTAGGGCGTTCCTCTGTCCGCGACCTGGCTCCGGTGGCACGCACTCACCGACAAGGCCCCCACTCCTGGCCAGAAGCCGCGGCCTTCCCAAGGGAGCCAAGGCTAGTTCCGGGTTGGAGTCCGGGGGCAGGAGGGTAGGCCAGCGCCCGCCCAGCCCGCCTGCCCCAGCAAGACAGCCCCGCCCCGCGCCAAGGTGTGGCAGGTGGGGGTGGGGAGGGCAGGCTGCCTGCTGCTGCTCCACTTCCCATTCCAGCAAAGTGACCCAACCCAATCCTGCCACCAATCCAAAGTAGTCCCAGAGAGGGGCCCCAAAAAATCAGATCAGAGATAGCCTTAGGCATGGTCTTTATTTATTTGGACACTGTACAAATATTACAATTTCCTTTTGCTGCAAAAAGTATAAAAATAATCTTTATATAGGAATCCATTCGTTACTGTAAATCTTTCTAAATCTCTGCAAATGGCTCTAAATGAGGGTAAATGAATAAATGGAAATGAAGGGGAGCTACGGGGTATCAGGCCTCAGGGACTGACCTGCAGGGATTTCTAGCTAAAGACCTCAGTTCCTTCTTGTTAGCACCCCCCACCCACCACTGCCACCTGCAGGTTCCCAGGGCTCAGGGCCCAGCAGAAGTGGGGGGCACATGAGAGGTCCAGGAGAAGCTTGGGGTAAGTGGGTGATTAAGGAAGCTAGAGTATTGGCTGGCAAGTACCCAGCTCCATCCTGCCTTTCCCTCTTTTTGGGGAGAGGGGCTGGCAGGAGCAGGGCAGTGTGCTGGACAAGGTGCCCTATGGGGACAATGACAGGTCAGTGCCACTGGGTAGCAGCTGAGCCTGGAATGGGGGAGGCTCCAGAAAAGAAGAGGCAAACACTTTGGCTCCATGATGGAGAGGGCTGAGCCCCTTTCCCTTGCTCTACTAGCACAGTACAAGCGCCAGTGCAAGAGGTGTGGCCAGAACTGCAGTGTGGGAAGGCTGGGGAAGCCAGGAGTCTGTGGCTCTCAAGCCTTTTAAGGGCAGGGTGGGGGAAAGTCCCCAGGCAGCCCCCAACTCAGACAGTCTGGGTTCCAGCCATTCGGCGTATATCCCTGTCAGAGGTTGAGAACAGGCACGTCAAAGAGATCACAGACACCTTCACTCTCGTCCAGGTTGTAGATGTAATCGTGGTCTCCAGGGGGTGGAGAGAGACGAAGTAGGGGGGCAAACACTGCAGAGAGCACTAGGATAAAGCCCTGTGCCAAAGCCCCATCCAATAGCCACCCAAGCTCCTGCCCACAGCCATCCACTTTCTGAGGCCCCACCTCTCCATACCACCCACCTTCTGAGGACATCAGTTCCTCCAGCAGCTCTGAGCTCATACACTCTGAAAATAGAGAGAACACAGTGACATTCTAGCTATACCACTTCACTCATCAAAATCCATGAAACAGATTCCCCTAAACCCCAATCAGGAGATTTTACCCTTTGTCCTGAGTACCAACCACAACCAAAAGGTCCTCAAAAGGGACAAACAACAGCTGTGACATGCAATGAATCACATTCCTTATCCCCAACACCAGAAGGAATGCAGCCTACCTCGTGTCGGGTCAAAGATTTCTGACAGCTCTTTGGGGAGTTCCAAAACTGAAAGACAAGAAAGTCACAGTTGAGCTGGGCACCGTGGTGCACACCTGTAATTCTAGCGGCTCAGGAGGCTGAGGCAGGAGGATGGCAAGTTCAAAGCCAACCTCAGCAACTTATCGAGGCCTTAAGCAATCAGTGAGACCCTAGCTCTAAATAAAACATATAACCAAAAAATAATAATAATAATAAAAAAAAAAGGGGCTGGGAATTTGGCTCAGTGATTAAGTGCCCCAGGTTCAATCCCTGGTACCAAAAAATAAAAATAAAAAAGCCATGTTCAAGGTAGAGATCCAGCCTGGTCACAATAGAGGCCCCATGTTCCTCAGATCCTACTTCACCTACCCAGGGCTCCACATAGCTAAGGATCCAACCCAGGCCAAGCTGGTATTATTTTCTGATCTCTTCTGCTACATCTGAATTTCTCAGTGCTGAGCCCAGGGTACCAGACCCATTGCAGATGACTGGTATAGCTTTTCTAATTCAGAGGCTCTGAAGAGGGTAACAGACTTTTGTCCCTTTTTGGGTTCAGTGTGCACACCCTGTCTGGTGGAGGATGCCATACCCCATTCACTCCCATCCTTTTGAGCACCTGCTCTATGCTGGCCTCAAAGGCTATACCCTAGGTGGGGTCACCTGGAGGAGGTAGACACTTTGACAAGGGACAATACTACAGGGTGATGACCCGTACTACATATGGGAAGGATACACATGGGAAGAAAATAATACTGGAGAGAACCAAAAAGGATGCCATAAACCAGGTTTAGGAATTTGGATTTTTTTTTTTTTTTTTTTCCCATTTTAGGGAACCATTGAAGATACTTTTTTTCATTTTGGTGCTGGGGATTGAACAGGGACTCCTGCATACTACCACTGAAGTGTATTCCCAGCCATGAAGGTACTTTTATAAAAAGAGAAATGCCAATGTCAGGTTTATATTTCAGAAAAATCATTCTGTCAGTAAGGATTAAGAGAAGGATGCTAACAAGTTTGGAATTAAGGTGGCTAGTAGTCACCCTGAGTGCTGAGAATGCAAAAAGGATGTCTCAAGACAGACCTCACTAGGCAATGTGGGTTGGGCAGCAGAGAAAGAACTGGCGTAACACCCACGTGTCAAGTCAGCCTGAGTGACTAGGGCCAGTGGTAGAGTGCCCATGGAGATGGAAAAGCAAATTTCAGGAGGAAAATGAGTTAAATTGAGGACATGTGGAAATGAAGCGTTCACTGGAGATGAAGAGGACAGTCAGTGCCACAGAGGTGTGGAGGTCAGGCAAAAGTTGTACACTAAGAGGAGGCTAGAGAATTCTTATACCTACATCCGGAGCCTTCCACAGTGTGAAACAGAACAGAGCAACTGGGATACACAGAAAGATGCAAGGACTGGCATAATTAAAGCCAAAGAGGGATAACATCAGCAGAGAACACCAGAGTCCAGCCTTACAGAAACCTGCTGGGTTCAGGACCACATTAAGAGCAGCACTACTACAGCTGGGGCAGGGACCCTGCTGGCTGTCAACTGACGATGATCGAGATAAGGAGGAGACTAGGGATTACTTTTTCCAGGGGTCCACATAGAGAAGAGACAAGGAAGATGAGATGGTGACATGGAGGAGCAAGTGTCAATCAGTGGGGTAAGAGACTCAGTGGTGCTTTTAGAGGTGACAGGCAGGGCTTAAGAGAAGGCCAGGGAGTTCCATGTTAGCCCAAGAGGGAGGCAAAAGGGCACTGGCACTGACTCAGAGGCCAGATACTGCTTTTGGCAAAGAGTGGTGATATCAGACAGGGGTTCAAAGCAGGGCTGGGTTTCAGCCCCAATTCTGCAGCAAACCTGTACTGGGCTAAGTGTAGACTCTCCCTGCTGGTGGGGTGGGTATAGAAGGGACAAGTACTCACCACCTGTCGGTTCCACCTTGATGGGGTCAAAGGAGGTAGAAGGGTTGGGTCCGGATGAACTGCTAGTGCTGCTGCTGCTACTACTACTGCTGTCCAGCAGGGCAGAAGACTGCAGTGGCCGGGTGTCCAGTGCTGTTGGGCCTAGAGGGAGTGAGCCGAGCTCACCATTGTCCTTGCTGTCAGTTCCAGAGCCACCACTCACTGAAACAACATTTCCCAAACCCAGTCACACAGGGGGCAGAAAGTGGGTCATTGAAATTGGCTAGGTAGAATCCATGGCCAGAAAGACCACAGTTCTGGCTTCCAGACTGGTTTCCAAGAATTAGACACTGCCAGTCACTCCAGAGGAGTTAACCTGGAAACAAGTCATTGAAGGAGACAGAGACACAAGTCCTATAAGGAGGAAGACTCCTGGACAACATGGGTCCAAGAGGGGTTGTCAAAGTAGGTCAGACACTGTCAGATCTTCCCTGTTTAAAAAAGCTTATTCACTGCCATGGCAAGGGGGGTTAGGTGGGGACCAGGGAAAGACCAACCCTGACAGTCTAATCCAATTCTTGAGTATGGCACCCCGCAACAGAGGTATTGCTTCTCAGGCCCCAGAAGATAACCCCGATACCAGCTGCCCATTAGGCCTCACCTGTGATTTCAGCTGCTGGACCCGTTACCCCTGGGACTTCTGTGTTGCCAGGAACATGGATGGGAGTGGTAAGCTGGGGACTACTTGGACGTGAAGTTTCCTGGGGCTGAGCTAAGGTAGGCTTGGGCAGAGGTGGAGGGGTAGGAATAGCAGGTGGGCTCTGAAGCAGATCCTCAGGTGGTGGCACAGGCACAGCCACAGGTGGCGAACTCAATGCCTCTTTATTCACAAGCAGCACTTCAATGGGGCCACTCATACTCTTCAGGTGAATCTGGTACTTCTTCTGCCCATTGAGACCCTAGAGGTGGATGGTAGGGACAGGTAGAATTACAAGCAGGCACGGCTCCTGCTTGACCCTGGGTCAGGGCAACAGTGTCCTCACAACCAGGCTGCCCATCCTCCTAGATAACCCCAAACCCCAGGCCTCCCCTTACCTACCCCACCCTTGACTTATCAGACTCCACAGCCAGCACCCGCCCTCAGTTGACACCGCCTGACTGGGCTGAGTACCCACCTCTGGGATGGGCACCTCTAGGCTGGTGCCTGATGGGGCACGGATGGCCAGGAGGGTGTCTCCTAGAATGAGAATGGGTGAGCTGAGAATGGAGGTGCCTGTCCCTTGGAGCAAGGTAGGAGATCAGTCTCTAAGGAACTAAACAGACCTCCACCATACCCACAGTGACTGGGCAGAGCTAAAGTGCTTCTCTCTCTAATAGTCCAGGTCAGTAACCAGGAAATATGGGTTCAAACACATTTGTGGAGTGAAAGATCATTGGCCATGGGCATCTCACTTTTCAAGTAACAATCCTGTTCCCTAGGAATGGTGTTTTGGCCAAGGCTTATGTTCCTTTCCCAGAACCAATCTGAGGAATACAAAATGGATACAGGGTAATAGCTCCTGTATCCACAATGCAATTGAATTAACTACAGGGTGGAAGTGGGGACCACTGTCCCCTGCATATGTCACCCACAAACACATATACACTCTCTTCCTTGTGCTACTGTCAAGACAAACCCAGAAGTCAATGTTGATGGGGGCAAACCCAGGGACCCACCCCAGAATTCTTGAGTTCACTCATATAGCAGGCCTAATGGAGTCCCAGTGACCCTCAAATGGAGGACTTACCCTGCCTGCTTCCTCCTTGGGCAGGCCCCAGGGACTATCTTAAGAAATGGAACTCTCCTTGGGGACTGAGTCTGATACTCAGGGCTGTGGCTCAGCCTAGCCCTACCCCATCTCCCCCTACCCAGGCTCTGCTCACCAGCAAAGCATCTGCAGATGTCCTCATGAGTCACGTAGGCCAAGGTGTGAGGGTTAAGGAGAACCGCTGATGCCCTACCTGTGATGTCAGATGTCAGACCACAAAGGAGACCCAACACTTTAGCAAAGGTGTGACACACACACACCCTCAGGGGAAGTTCTGGGGCCTGGGTCCCTGTGGGGAGATCATAGGCTAGGAATGGAAGGGGAGGGGCTCTGAGAAAGGAGCCTGAAGCTAGGACCTGGCTATGAGGCTCCATCCTCCCAGGAGGGACAGGGCCCAGGACACCAAGGAACAAACCCAGCTGAACCAGGGGCCCTTTGCCCCCTCCCCCAAAGCAGGGACCGCCAGGAGGATATCAGCTGTTCTGCACGTCCTCTGTGACATTCCGGATGCTTTGTTGCACCCACACCTTGTGCTGGTCAAGTTCTTGCTCCCGCTGCTGCAGCTCCTCAATTTCTGCCTTGAGCTCAATTAGCTTGTCGGCAATCTCTCGAGTGTTGCAGCCAGGCCCCACACCCCTGAGTGGGGGAATGAGACTGAGAGGGACTGCCAGGAACTCCAAGTCCCATGGCCCCTGCTCTCAATGGCACCCTCCACCCCGTGACCCTGACACTTCTGGGTAGGTGACCACACTGCTTTCCCAGATATCCCCACTCACTTCCACTGGATGCTGTTCTTGGATTTTTTCTCGATCAGCCCAATACCTTCCAACACGTTGGTAATGTCATAAATCCGCCTCTTCTGGCGCACAGCTAAGGTGTCAGCTGCCTGGCGGGCAGAAGAGAGTAGAGTGCTCAGCCTCACTCTCAGATGTACCCCAGCTACCTTGAGATTTGGTTTGGGTGGTCTGGGAAGGATGTAGCCTGGGTTCCAACCCGCTGTAGTGCCTCTAGGCACTTCAGGAGCTCGGGACCCCGGGGTGGGGAGACCTGGCACAGCTCTGAACTGGGATGTTTTGATGCTCTTTACCCCTCATCTGTCAGGGAGGGCACGAGGGCTAGCACCTGCAGCCTGGAGCCTGGCACACAGGTGAAGCTCAATGGCCTCGGCCGAATGAATGAAATAGCCCCCGGCCTCTCTCCTGCGAGAAAGCACACGGATGGCGGCCAGCTCTCAGAAGACTCAGCGGGGACGTCCAAGGGTTCCCGCTACCGGCGCAGGCCTGGCCCACCATCCTGCTCCCCCTGTTGCCCCTAAGCCCGTGCCGCACCAGCTTGAGGTCAAGCACGCCGTCCTTGGCCTCCTGCAGAAGTGACACGAACTTCGTGGTGAGAAGTCCCAAGCTCTTCTCATGCCGGCTTGGAGTGCCCGGGGGCGGCGGCGCCTGTGGCCCGGCCTCCGCCATCGCGCCCGCCCGCCGCCTCCCCTCAGCCAGGCCAGGCCAGGCCGGCGCCGCCGCCACTTCCGCTTCCGTTCCTTGCCGCCGGAGCCACCGTCGCTACTTCCGCTTCCGCCTCGTGTCCTCCCAGGGAACTGGCGCAATTCCTGTCTGCAAACAAGGGCGTAAAACTTCGGGGAACATCCGTAAATATTCAAGTGCCGAAGAAGACGAAAACAAGCCCTGACAAGTGGGGGAGGGATGTGGAGGAAGTCAGCGAGCAGCCCCGACAGTAGAGAATAGGAAGCCGTCGGAATCTTCCTTGCCAACCTGGCCCCAAACCATCTGCCCAGCCCTTTCAGGAGAGACTACACTGTCTGATAAGTCTAGCCTGCTCCCCAAAAACTGTTGGAAAAGGCTGCCTCACTGATTTGGGGTCACCAACCCTCTTTCTGCCCCTTACTTCCTGCCAAGCAGCAAGCGCTAACTACATCTAGCTTGACCACTTCTCTTTATCCCTGCCCTCCTTCCATGGTCCCAGGGTCATCTTCTTTTCTGTCCACACTACAGTGCTCAGAGGTCGTGGAACTCTTTTACAACAACTTCTCTGCCAATACAAAGCTGTTTACCTTTATAAGAATACAAGTAAGACCTCAGAGCACTTCCTGGCATGTTGCAAGAATTATGTTTTTGCTGGTATGTTTTGTTTATTTGTGATAATGGAGATTGAACCCAGGGGCATTTTACCACTGAGTCCCAGCCCTTTTTATTTTATTTTTTTATTTTTGAGACGGAACATTCCATCCTCCTGCCTCAGCTGAATTAGTTGGGATTATGGGAGAGTGCCATGGAACCTGACTTTTTGTTATTTTTAACATGGTTATTACTTATTATTGTTGTTATTTTAGGTCAAGTTTTCTGGGAAACAGACTTTGAAACAAGGATTTGCTGGCATCAAGTCTATTGAGGATCCACCTTGGTAAGGGAGTAAGACAAGCGGAATTATGAGTAAGATGCAATTATAATAGAGGCCTCAGCACAGCCCACTAGCTCTGAAATTAGGGTAGACCTTCTCAAGTGTTCCAGTCTTTGTTGTTGTTGTTGTTATTGCAGTTCTAGAGATCAAACCCAAGGCCTCATCTGTGCTAAGCTAGCACTCTACCACTGAGTTACATTTTCAGTTCAGGTACCCAGCCTTTGTACCCTAGTATTGATTCAGAGCCTTACACTTGGTAGCTGTGAAACCTCAGCAGATTACACTATGGGCAGCTGGGGAATGAGGGCCTCTGCCCTGAAGGATGGATTTGGGTGTTGCACCAAATATCCACTAAATTATCGCTATCCTGTAGTCCCTTCCATGGCTCTTATTACTCACAGAATTAACACAGCCATCAGACCTCTATCCTGCCATCACTCACTGTGCTCCCTCTTCACTACAGTTTATGACCTCTGCTGTGCAGAGGTACACAGCCTCCTCCCAGGGTACACTTTACACTTCATCCCAGGTTGAGGCTGAATCTACTTCATGTCTTTGCTCTGATCACTAAGAGGGCTTGTCAAGACTTGATGATCACAGGGAGTAGAGCCACCCCCCCACCCCCGCCCCTCGGGAAGTGGCGCCCAGCACTCCCCACCTCACTACAGATGCTCTTTCCTGTTGGGAATAAAATGCCAGAGACTCAGCTTCCTTCCTTTCTGCCTTGGGGAGGGAGGGGCTTCTGGCCTGGGAAGTGGAAGAGAGGCTTCCTTGGGGAGAGGAATTCTGCTGTTGTATGCCAGAGTGGTTGGAGTCACCCAGGCCCCGTGAACAGTGAAGGGCGTGCCCAGTTCTGCCTGGGCTAGAGGGTCATTCTCAAGGTCAAGGCTGTTTGTGGAGGAGGGAGAACTGGACATCTGGTCAAGTCTGGTAAGTTTTGTACCAAACTGTCCTGGCCATCTCAGAGAAGGAACAGGGTCTTTCAGATGCCAAGTGAGGCCTGTTTCCACCCTGCCTCACTTGGCATCGGCAGGGGCACATCCCACCAACCCAACAAGTGAAGTCCTCCCAGGTGCCTCCCCCATCACACTGGCCTCCCTCTCATTTCCTGAGGGGGCTGGGCAAGAACCTCCCTTCTCTTCAGCGGAGCCTAAACAGAGGCAACAGCCTAAAGGAGACAAGGAGCATCCACTCTGTCTTCTCTAACCCAGATCCTCATCCTTGCTCCCACTTCATTTCCGACTCCTCCAGACCCGCGATGGACTCAGCGGCCAAGGACAAAATGAAGCCTGCACTTCCCTGTGGTATGAGCCCTGGTGGGTGGGTTGGGGGAGGGTTGATGGCAAGAAATATGGGAATGTGGGGTTTGGTCCTCCCTGCCAGGTCTGCCTGGATCTCTACAGGACAAAGAGGAGTGGATTGTCCTGGGAATGGACTGGGGAACAGGAAGGGCAGCATGTTTGGCAGCCACAGGCCCTCCCTGACTGACATGGTTGCCCAGGCTTTTCTTGCTCAGGGCCTGAGTGGCCAGAGCAGGAGAGGGCAGAGCAGCTGGCCAGGGGTGCAGCACTCAAGTGGGCCTCAGGCATCTTCTACCGGCCAGAACAGCTGACCAGGCTGGGCCAGTACCGCAGTCGCGAGGTGCAGCGTACTTGCTCCCTAGAAGCACGTATTAAGGTAGGCATAGGACAAGGAACAGCAGAACTAGGAGTGGGCTTTAGGGCTGCCCAGGACTCACTGGCTCTTCTCTTCACAGTCAGTGGTGCAGTCATATCTGGAAGGTGTGCAGACTGGTGTGTGGCAGCTGGCCCGTGCCCTTGAGGCTGTGCAGGGAACCCGTGAAGCCCTGAGCCAGGCCCACGAGTTGCTCAAGAGTATGGCCCAGGCTTCACAGAGCCTAAAGCCCCTTCGGGAGCAGGTTTCCCAACACAAGCAACTACAGGCCCTGTCTCAGTTGCTGCCCCGGCTGCAGGCAGGTGAGTGTGCAAGGACTCTGGGCCTCAGCTTCCAATAATGAGTCCACAAATGCCCACCATTGATCAAGGGCTGGAGCTCTGGTGGGGGGACTGCACTAGGAACCAGCCAGAGAATAAACCAGGCTTCAAATGGCATATAAGGGGCTGGAAGTATAGCTCTGTGTAAAGTACTTGCCTAGCATGTGCTCAACCCTGGGTTCAATCCCCAACATCACAAAAATAAATAAAATTTCAAAACCAAAAACAAATGGCATGGCTGGGCATGATCATGCACACCTGTAATCCTGGTGGCTTGGAAGACTGAGGCAGGAAGATCACGAGTTCAAAGACAACCTCAGCAAAGGCGAGGTGCTAAGTAACTCAGTGAGACCCTGTCTCTAAATAAAATACAAAATAGGGCTGGGGATGTGGCTCAGTGGTTGAGTGCCCCTGAGTTCAATCCCTGGTACCCCTCCCCCACAAAAAAACAACAACACACAAATGGCATATGAAGCAGCATGTGAAATCAGCTCATCCTGGGTTTCCCATGAATGGGATGTTTGAATGAGGATAATCCAGTCAAGTGGCTGTGGCTAGCCTGAACTAATATACTGCTAACATATTGAAATAATTCTCTAATGAGGTGTATCTATTTGGAGGTGAATGGCTTTCCTCTTGTTCTTTTAGCTCAAGTGTTTGCATATGACCCACCAGGCTGCTAGGATTTTGCCTGGATCCTTTCAAATTGGTCAAGACTGTACTGATTATTAAACATTTTATATAACACTCCAGTCTCAGGGCCTCAGTATCCCTTGCTGTATCCATTGCACAGGGGGGAAGGCTGAGACCCAAATCTGTCTTCTCTCCCCCATCAGTGCCGGCTGCAATGGCCCACACGCAGACCCTGATTGATGCCCAGAGGCTCTTGGAGGCATATGTGAGCCTGCGGGAATTGGAGCAGCTGCAAGAAGAGACATGGGCACCTTTGGGGGGCCTTGAGTTGCCAGTATTCCAGGGCCTGGGCCTTCTGGCTGAGGCACTGAGCCAGGCTGTGGAGACAGCTGCAATGGCTGCCAGGAAGCTGGCACGGGAAGATCCAGCCCTGCTGGTGGCTGCTATTCGTGTGGCAGAAGTGGAGGCTGGGCGCACAACTCCTGTGGGGCAGGCTCCCCGAGACTGGCGGCAACTCTGTCTGCGTGCACTACAGAGAGGCCTGGAGCAAGTCCACTTTTCAACAACCACACTTCCTGAACCAGGAGCCCTAGCAAGGTGGCTGGAGGCTCTGCAAGTGGCCCTGCCTGCTGAGTTGGCCACAGCAGAGGCACTAGTAGCACCCTGTTGCCCACCACACTACAAAGTGGTGCAGCTCTGGGCCCATACCCTGCACAATGGCCTGCGCCGCAGCCTGCAGCAACTCCTTGCAGGGCCTGAGCTGGGAGCTGCTGATGCCTTCGCCTTGTTGCATTGGGCACTTCACGTGTACTTGGGGTCAGTGTCCTTGGCAAGAAGTGGGAGGATTAGAGGTGGGGGAGAACTCAGTGTGACACAGGGCCACCCATCTCCAGGCAGGAAATGATGGGGAGCCTGGAGTTGGGGCCTGAGGCTGATGTTTCCCAGCTGGAGCCCCTCCTGACCTTGGAGAACATTGAACAGCTGGAGGCAACATTTGTGGCCAAAGTCCAGGTAAGTAGTTAGGGAAGAGACACTCTGCCCATCAGCTGTGGCCTTTATCTGTAGAGTTCAGAGCCTTCCTGTCTTTGGCAGGGTCACTACCCTGCTACATCCTGCCACCCTGCTGCCATTTGCTCTTTCTCCTAGGCAAGTGTGGCCCAGTGGCTGCAGAAGGCACTGGATGGGGAAATAGCTGAGTGGGGCCGGGAGCAGGAGCCCAACACAGACCCATCTGGCTTCTACCACTCACCAATGCCAGCCATCGTACTGCAGGTGGGTGAGAATGGCCAGAGAGGAGGGCAGAGCTCAGGGCTCTGCTGATGGTTGCCTATTTTTGCCTATAGATCCTGGCTGAGAACATTCGTGTGACCAGCCTGGTCAGTGAGTCGCTACAGCAGCGGATGCATGGCATGGCACTGTCAGAACTGGGAGCGTTCTTGAGGAGGTCTGCCAAGCACGGACCCATTCCCAATCCCCACCCTGCTCCCAGGACAGCCTAAAGGGGATTTGAGTGAATAGTATACACCAATGGGAAAGGGATCCTTCACACAGGATTTGGAAGTCGGGCAGGAGTACCAGGGCTGGGTTTGTGGGTGCACCACAGTAGCAGAAAGTCCAGCCACATCTTTCTGTTGCAGCTTCAGTGATGCTCTGATCCGATTCTCCAGAGATCACCTCAGAGGGGAAGCCATGGCCCCTCACTATGTGCCCTACCTCCTGGCCGCCTTCAACCACCAAACAGCATTGAGGTACTAGAAGGCCCCCAAGAAAAACTACCTTCACCCACCTGCTGCTGAGTTTCTATTAGGTACCAACCAGGCCCACACTAGGCCATTCAGAACTTTGAGCCCATATAACTCAGGGGTTCCAATCCTAGTTTTGTTATTTAATATCTACATGACCAAGTAACCTAATATCTCTTGAGTATTGATTTTCTCATTAATCAATACTCATTAGTATCCTGTGGGTAATAATGGAATGGTCTCAGAATCACATGAGATATTAGATGTATAATATCTACCACAGTGCCTGGCACATAGGGCCATTATTCATCCCTTCAGCAAATATTTATCAAGGCTATATTCTGTGCCCAGTTATGTCTGAGGTTACATTTGTGGACAGAAATAAGAAAAATTATCTTCCTCTTGAGTGTTGTGTTCTTTGTGATGGGGGTAGGGAGAACAGACAAATTAATGATTGAGTTGTGCTCCTCCTGATTGGGATTAGCTCCCTTCTCTTATAAACGAGGAAGCAGAAACCAAAAAACTGACTTTCTCAAGGTCACATCGTGAATTAGAGGCAGGTCCCGCTGGGCTGTGTGCTTCTTCTAGCTTCTGAGAATACCCCTCCTAGCTTGGTCAGTACCTGAGACCTTCAGAGGGCAAGGAACCCCCTCCCGCCACACACTTGCGCCACAAGGTGGCGTCGGAGTGGCTGAACCACCGAGGCCCGTTCAGGCCTTGGCCTTGGTCCTGAAGTCGTGTTTTTGGTCCAGCTCCTCAGTGTCCAGCCTGCAACCTGACGGAGTGGCTTCAGGGATCTTGGCTCCGATAGAAGCCGCGCTGGACGAGTTGCAGAGGAGGATCTGCCGTCTAGTATTGGAGGCACTGCAGTTGGAGCTCCAGGTGAGGCTTCCTTCCCATCGGAATAAGGATGGGAGAGATAAGGTGTACCTTTGGGATTCTCTGCAGGGACTGCCAGATAGGCTCATATCTCCAGCTCCAGTTCCTCTCATTCTTTCCTCAGCCTCTGTTTGAGTCTGTGCCCTCGCGCCGGTGGCTGTCGAGCTCTGAGTTGCTGGACTGTGTGTGCGATCAGACGTCGCGCTTCTGCCGGGATTTCTGGCGCGTGAGGAGCCCCGCGGTTAAAGTGCGTCCAGTGGAAAGGACTGGGAGGGGGCAGTCGGATGGGAGAGGCGATATAATCCCTCTGATCACCTGCCCTGCAGCTGCTGTTGGCAGAGGCAGAGCGCACCGTGGTATTGCAGTATCTACGAGCGCTGATGCAAGGCCGCCTAGTGTGCCGGGATGCAGACGAACGGACCCAGGCTGCCGAGCGTCTGCGGCACGATGCTGCCCAGCTGAAGGAGCTTTTCCTCCGTTTGGTGAGAGCTCGTTGGGAGGGCAGACGGGCAAGAGTCTCAGTGATTGGGTGGGAGCCTAGGGCGATCTGAAACCCCATTCCAATGTGCCCAGGGTCTGGAGGAGAACTCGCATTGTGCCCCGGTGCTGCTCGCCTTGAGGGAGTTGCTGAACCTGCGGGACCCCACGCTGCTTGGCCTTGAGGTGGCAGGCCTGAGGCAACAATTTCCCGACGTGAGGTGAGGGGACGGTGGAGCGGGGAAGGGGGGAGGAGCCAGGGAAGGGAAGTGCAGGGCCGATGCACCTCTGGTGTCACTACAGCGAGGACCATGTCTCTGCCCTTTTGGACCTGCGTGGGGACGTGTCCCGAGAGCAGCGTCAGGCTGCACTCATCTCCTTGCAGGACAGCTCGCCGCCTTCGCCCCTCACGGGCCACCGTGCACTCTTCAGCCTGGTGCCAGCGCCTACGCCCTCCTTCTCCTCCTGTCTTCCCTCGGGGCCCTGCTCTTGAAGCTCCCGTGCATGCAGAATAAAATATGAGCCACGTACGCCTGAATCTCTATGTGTTGGGAAAGGAGAGGGATGAAATAAAAATTTCTGTGAAATTTAGGGGGTTCATGCACACGCCTAAGGTATCCTGGCTGCAGTCCTGGCAATATGGGCAGCGCCTCACCTATCCAGACATTTTCCTCTCTGTGGACTACGTTCCGGAGTACTCGAGCTCCGGTCGGGTACACAGATTGCGCCCCACGTATTCACCCCCAGGCAATGACTAGTACTTCCACCTCCCTGAGTCCTGCCCCCAGCCGGGGCCTGGAAACTCTTCAAGGGGACGGGTCGACAACTACACCCCGCCCAGTGGCATGGCGTGGTGCTGGACTCAGCCCTCTCAGACTCTCTTGGTGCCCGTCGCCACAGATTGACAGGTTCCTCCCGATTTCGTGAGAGCGTGCGCGCGCCGGAGAGCGGTGCGTCATCGGCGTCAGCTCCCGCGGGCTGGGCGACGAGCGACCCGCTTTGCGGAGCGAGAACCGCAGGCGGCAAGCAGAGGAACAAACAGGTGGGGGCGCGGCACGCGGACCGAACCCCCTACCCAAACCCCAAGGCCGAGACTAGGCGCGCGGTCGACCCTTTTGATTTACCAGAGAACCACCCCCATCCCCGCTCCATTGTCTTTTGGCCCCGCCCTCCATTGGGCACGCCCTTCTCCCATCCCCCTACCGCTTATTGGCTGCAGGTCACGCCCCTCCTGGATCTCTTGGTTCCCATTGGCTTTTCAACGTAAACCTCTAGGCGCTGGCCACACCCCTCATCTGGAACCAGACCACGCCTTCAGTAGTCAAGGGCTCCTCCCCAATCCAGCCATTCATTCTGCATCTGGTGTTGGGTGCTTGAGACATGAGGGCGAATCAGACGGGTCCCTACCCACCGGGAGTTCGAGGGATGGTAGGAGGACAGGGACCCAAGCTCTAACAGTGACTGCCTAGGGCGGTAAAGAAACCATTGAGGCATTGGGACCCTGTAGACGCCCAGAAGGCTTCCCGGAGGAGGTGAGGCCCAAACGGAGCCCTGAAAATGGTTAAGAGTTTGTTCCAGGGAGACATTGCGGGGGCATTCTTGGCGGAAGGACCTGAAACGTGAAAGAAACAGGCGTATTCTGGTAATTGCGAGGAGGTAGGTCTAATGAAAGAAGGGGAAATGGAAGGGAATTGTCCAGGTAGCAGCCTGAAGACCAGTGTGGAGTCCAGGAAACTATTCAGTTAGTTTAGGGGAATGAAACCTGAGACCTGAAATAATCTTCAAGCAGCTGGTCACTGGACTGGGTGGAGGAGAGTGAGGAGGGGGAAGATAGGTCTAAATGAGGAAGCAAAGTGCTGGTTATTCTAATTCTGAGAAGGGCTCTTGAGTTCATTCATTGAGCTCTGGGTCAGGCACTGGGTTTTAGGGACACAGCTGTGAATGCTAGAAAGGTGAAAACAGGTAATTGTCAGATGTATCATAAAAATATAAAGCTTACAGCAGTACACTTTAGGTGATGATAGTGCTATGGAAAACAATAATTCCTGGCTGGGGGTGGATTGTGGTGAAGATGGGGGAGGAAGTTTATTATTTTATAGAGGTGCATTAAGGTGATTTTTTTTCTAGTACTGGAGATTGAACCCAGGAATACTTTACCATTGATATACATCCCCAGCCTTTTTTATTTTTTGAGAAAGGATCTTATTAAGTTTTTGAGGCTGGCCTTGAACTTGTGTGTGACTGGGATTACACCTGGCTAGAGTACCTTTTCTAAGATCTTGATATTTGTGCAGAGATTTTAGGGAAGTCACTTTCTATTAGTGTCATTATATTAAGGGGGCTTTCTAGACAAAGGACATATGCAGTTTGAGATGCCTTTTAAACAAAGATGTTGTATGAAAACTGGCAATACCTGTCTAAAGTTTATGCAAGAAATTTGAGCTGATGACTCATATTGAGGGCTGAGAGTGAGGGCTGGGGGTATAGTTTGGTGGTACAGGGCATGCTTAGCCCTCAGTTTGATCTCCAGCACCAAGGCAAAATAAAACAAAAAAAAATATGAGAGTGGGTGAGGTTACTTAGGGAATGAGCATAAATGAAGAAGGGAGTAGTTCCCATAGTCAAGTCCTGGGCCATTATAGTGTTGAGAGTTTGGGGAGATAGGGATGATCAGCAAGGAAGACCAAGAAAGAACTGCCAGTAAGATGGAAAAAGAACTAAGTTCCAGTGTATTTGGAAAGTGAAATGGACAGCAAGTTTCCAAGATGAAGGGATTAACTGTGTGAAGTGCTGATGATCAATATGAAGACTGTCGATCACCTTGATTAGGTCAATTTTGATGGAGAGTGGGGGACATGTGCCTAAGTGAAGTGAACTTTAAATAATAGGAAATAAGGAATTGGAGACTGGGTAGAGATGACTTTGGGTGTTGTGCTGCAACAAGGAGCAGCTGGAGGGAAATGCAGTGGTGCTGTAGTTGGAGAAGTGTGGATTCAAATGCAGGTTTTGCTTTGTTTTTTAAGATGGATAAATTACAACATGTACCTATGCTGATGGAAAGAATTCAGTGGAGAGGAAGAGATTGGTGATGTAGGAGAAAAAAGAAAGGCTGGAATTGAGTCCCTGAACAGGCAAGGGTGCTCAAGAGTCTGCAGTCTCTAGTCAGTCTTTGGGAGAAACTGGATTGGACTGAGCCCTGGCACAGAGTCAGGGGTGAGTGCCCTGATATTGGCTTTGGATGACCACTGGGAAGATGCATCAGGTAGGATACAGGCCAGAGATTGGCTTGGATTTGAAGTCTCCCTCTGCTTCCCAAAAGCAGATTCTAATTTGGATATGAATAGATGGCCCAGAAGAGAGGGCAATACAGTAGATACTGGCATAAGAGGCACTCAGGCATTCAAATTGACAGAGGACAGGTGGGAACGAATGTGTAGGTGAAGCCATGTAGGAGAGTGGTACCAAGAAGATGCAGTAAATAGAAGGCATCCCCTGAGAGCCCTCTTATCTATGGTTCATCCAGGCAGCTGAGGCTGCTCTCTGTCTACTCTGGGTGAGCGCTGAGCACAGAGATTAGAATCATGAGTAGGGACCCAGTCCTTGCCCTTTGCTCACAGGCTGAGGGAATTATAGTAAGCACCATCTAGGTGGGTATGTAAAACTGTCTCTCTTGCTTTGTTCCAGCCCATGTTACTTGCATGAGCTTGCTAGAGGGAAAGGACACTGGAATGGGGGTAGGAGAACAACTACCCATACCCTTGGCAGCAGACCTTGGGCCCACCAACAGCCCAGCAAGGCCAGTGTGGAGCCTATAGGGCCTTCAGCTCCTCTGACCACACCCACTCATGCTGATTTCCACATCCTTCTGTGTCCCCAGAGGTCAACAGTGTGGGAAGTTGGAGAGACCCAGCTGGATGTGACCTTCAGGACAGAATGGTGCTGGACTCGGGGGCTCAGGTGTATGAGCAGGCACCCCCCAGTCTGCCTGCCAGTCCCCAGTCCCTGCACCATAGGCTAAAGAGCCCAGACCGAGATGGGCCACCCCTGTACCCCTGGCCTCAGTCCCTGGCTGTGCCTCTGGCTCTGGCAGTCCCCTCAGGGCTACAGCCCCAGCCTGAGCAGCAGCCCTTCTCAAAACTGCATTTGGGCCGTGGCCACATGCGAAGGAGTGAGAGCACCTACACTGTAAACAGTGCTGGCTGTCGAGGGCGTGGCACCCGGGGACCAGCCCCTCCTGGACAGGGACGGGGTGCAGGTAGGGGTACCCTGCGGGCTGCAGCCTCTCTGCCTCACATTGCTAAGACTCGAAGGGATGCAGGTGGTGGTACCAAGAGCCCCTGTATGTTGGTGGCACTGAGGCCAACCAATATGGACCGTGAGAGGGACAAGTTCTTCCAGTCCCATTACACCTACAACCCACAGTTCGAGTACCAGGAGCCCATGCCCACCACTGTGCTGGAGAAGTACTGTGAGGCCTCTGGACAGTTCATCCATCAGGTCAGTCCACCCTGCCCACCTTACCCTGTCCCTGACAACTCAAGGGACCTAGCCTGACAAGCTACTGTGGCCTGTGTGCAGGCAGTTGGAATCATTGAGGCTGTTCTGGAGAAGTTTGGCACCTATGAACACTTTGAGGCTGCCACCGGGGGCCAGCTGCTGACTAAGTGCCAGATTTGGTCCATTGTGCGCAAATACATGCAGAAAGAGGGATGCGTTGGAGAGGTGAGCTTTCCTGCCTACACAGCCCCTAACATGCCCCAAATCAGTCTGTCTGGCAGGTGGTCCCAGGCCCAGCTTCACACCTGGCCAGCAGGTGATCCGAGACAAATCCTGTTCTTGCCTCAGGGAGGTGGGAGGTAGCTCTGAGTAGAAGTGGTAAAGGGTGAGTGCCCTGAACAGTGTCTAGCTTGGCTGACCTTGGCATTGATGGGTCCACCTACACAGCGACCCCAAGGCTAGTAACCATGGCTCAGTACACTGCCATCTGCAGGTTGTGGTGCAGCTGAGTGAGGACCTGCTGTCTCAGGCTGTGATGATGGTGGAGAACAGCCGACCCACACTGGCCATCAACCTGACTGGAGCTCGCCAATACTGGTTGGAGGGCATGCTTCGCCATGAGATAGGTCAGGCTGGGGGTCATGGGTAGGGGGGTAGAGGGGTGGAGATGAGAAAGGGCTGAAATCTGGGGAGTGGGCAGTGAGGGGCCCCAGTAACCCCCTCCTTTGTTTCTCCCTCTTCCCTCTGGAGGAGGACAGGCCCTTGCCCTTCCTGAACAGCTGTCTCCTCCCTCTGGCTCACAGAGGTAGGCCAGAACACACCTGCCCACTCTCCGGATTTACCCTAATCTCTTGTTCCTTTGGGGGATGTCTTTTTCTCTCTCTGATTTCCTTTGACAGTGGGGCAAGGCTGCTGAGGCTCTGACAGGCCAGAGGGAGAACCCTGAGGGTCCCACCAGCCCAGCCAACTGGCAGGCCCTCTAGGGTGGGTGGTAGGCCAGATCCTAGAAATAGAATTGTTTGAGGTCACACAGAGTATAATTTAGGAGCAGGCAGACCAGGCTGGGAAGGAGGGCACAGGACACTAATCACTATTCCTTTCTGTCTTTCCTTCCTCATAAAGAATCCTATTGTCCTGGGCAAGAAGTGGTTTTGCTGGGGGAATCAATGTGATTATCTAGTGATTGATGAGGGCATGCAAGATATTGGGGCTGGGTGGTGTGTGTGTGTTCCTTCTCTCTAGGAAAGCTGGAGGAAGCAGGGGTGGGGTGGGAGTGGAGGGACAATATGAGTTGGGATAGGGACATAGGGACGGGGAGAGAGAGAATAAGAGAATATACTGAGATGGGTGGAGGAATATTCATGCATGAGTCTGAGTCTGTATGAGCCCTTGGGTGCAGGTTCTTCTTTGGAGGGTCTTCACGCAGCTTGGGGTTTGGTGAGTATGTTTGTCTGGGGCTGGGGCAGCCTGAGTTTGGGGACGTGAAGATACTAGAGTCGCCACTAGAGGTCCGCAGGGTGGATTCTCCAGACACCCCGGCGCCCAGCGCAGCTTCCCCCTCGCCCTCTCCGCAGGCACTCACTACCTGCGGGGCGTGAACAATGCACGGCAACCGTGGCACAGCGCCGAGGGCCGGTTGCAGTATGGGCTGCGGCCAGCCAATCCCACGGAGGAGGGTCTGGCCAGCTTGCACAGCGTGCTGTTTCGCAAGCAGCCATTTTTGTGGCGCGCAGCTCTGCTCTACTACACCATCCATCGCGCTGCGCGCATGTCCTTCCGCCAGCTCTTCCAGGACCTGGCGCGCTACGTGCAGGACGCTGACGTTCGCTGGGAGTACTGCGTGCGCGCCAAGCGTGGCCAGACCGACACTTCCAAGCCTGGTGGGCAGGACGCAGGGTATTGACCTGGGCGGAGGCGAGGGTTGGGGCTCCACCTCAAGAACTCACTGGCTCCTGCACTCACAGGCTGCTTCAGCAAGGACCAAGTGTACCTGGACGGCATCGTGCGTATTCTGCGGCACCGCCAAACCATTGATTTCCCACTGCTGACCTCGCTGGGCAAGGTGACTGACTGGGTTTCCGGTCTGCCCTCCCACTTTCTGCAATATTCCTTGCACCTCTGATTCTTGCTGGACTGAGATCCGAGTGTCTGACCTCTCTGGTGCGGGAAGCATGGATGGGGTTGAGCAGAGGAGATGAAATGACTTTCTAGTCATTTCATTTCATTTCAATTCAATCAAAAGTAGGTACTTGACCCAGCTTATAGGGTTGTGTAGGTGCAGCATTTCAAAGGAGGTGAGCATTCCAGGCTAAGGGAATAATTAGGAAGGCCTGGGGAAGGAGGCTGGACAAATGGCCAGGGACCACCAAGTCTCGGGTCTCTGTGCCAGGCAGAGAAGAGTGGATCTCATTTGAAGCAGTGGGGAGCTGGAAGAGCTTTAAGCAGAAAGTATGGTGCAGTTATTTGCTTTCGAAGGCTCCCTCTGGAGTTATATGGCAGGGGAACTGAAAAGAGAGTCCTAGGGAAGAGAGTACGCTGGCAAGAAGAAGAGGCTGTCTTGTCACTCTTACAGATTGATGATGATGGCCTTACCAGGCATGATCATGTATTTAGAGAGGAAGGGTCAAGCTGGAGAGCTCTTTGGAAAGTGGATATTCCTTTATCTCAGTGGCTGCCCTGAGTGGGAGGGTGAGAGTCCAAGCATCCTCCCTGGAACCTGACCTGGGTGACTGAAGAGTTGGGCTGGTACCCAGATGTTGACTATGAGGAGGTGCCTTAGAGCTAGATATTCAGGGGAAAGTGTTCAGGAGGCATTTGGATACCTATATCAGAAGATAGGAGAATAAAAGAAAATGTTGAGAGAAAGAACAGAGACCCAGGTCTGAGCTTAGAGGTACATAGCATGGGCATGGGACTGTGGGTGTGGTGGGTTGATGGGAAGAAGGAGCCCTGGGAGCAAATGGCCATGAGCCATCAGCAGAGCTCGGACCACCTGTCTAAAAGCCAGGAGCTCTGTCTAGCTCTGAAGCTCAGCTTCCTCCCTGCAGGTCTCCTATGAGGATGTGGATCACCTACGGCCCCATGGGGTGCTGGATAATACCCGAGTGCCCCACTTCATGCAGGACTTGGAACGCTATCGGCAGCAGCTGGAGCACATCATGGCAACCAATCGCCTGGATGAAGCAGAGCTGGGCCGCCTGCTGCCTGATTGATGTTTATTGAGGGCTATCAGCAGAAGTCATATGCAGAGGCCTCCAGATCAGCCCCCAGAATAAGAAGCTGATTGCTCTGTGCTTCTACAGCCTGGGTGTTTCTTGGGGGCATTGGGAGGCCAGGAGCATTCTGGAAGGACAGGCAGCAGCATCAGAGGTTTTTGTCCCTTGATAGTCTTCCTGGTGCCTGTGGACCAGGCAGCATTTCTGGCAAATTGTTGAGCAGAGGGGAGTCCTGGGGACAGGAGGGGGGGTGTTGAGTGTTAATGGGAATAAGGGGTGGTTTGGGAGTAGAAACTTGTTTTTGCATGAGATGCTTTGGGTGTCCAATATTCCAGTCTGTCCCTTCCCCCACCTTGCCCCTTGGTGCTCCTTCAGCATTCCTGCTGTCTACCTCTTACTGGGTCCTGGTGGGGATTGGGATCCCTTCTTCTGGGGTGATTGCCTGCGCCTGGGGTCTTGGCTTTCACACAGGCTCAAAGGGCAGGGGTCCTGATGGTATAGACCCAGCTGGGCTGGGGTTTGCTTTCCAGCATTTTTGCCTCTTTCACTGGTCATGTGTTTATTCAATACTTTTGTGTTCTACTGCCTGGAGCTTGGAGGTAACAGTGGAGGGACAGGACACTACTGGAAGGTATCAATTGTTCCTACTTTACCTTCATTATACACACATGGACACATACATGCTGGGCTTCAGGTCTTGTGCATCGAGCCCAAAAGCTCACCTGACCCTTGCACTGGCCTCTGCTCTTCCTGTCTTTTCCCACACTTTCCCAGTTGGTCTTAGGCAAGAGTTGGCATAGCCTGGGAGCAGCCACCCGCAGGCCCATTAGGTTTATTGTCCTGGGCCAGGAGAAATACACAGCTGATTGTTGCTTAGACTCAGCTACTACGTGAGGTTGACCCAGTCCCATTCCTATCCCAGGCCTTAGTTTTCCCATCTATAAAACTTGGAAACACAGCTGGAGAGTTCTTATTCATTTAGTCAACACATATGTATAGAGCACCTTGTGCCAGTTACTGGTTAAAATTCTCACTGAACTCCCAGTTCAGAGGGAAGCCAGACAATTAAAATGGCAATTAAAATTACACGTGTGGCCTCTGTCTACTTAAGGTCCTTCTAATTCCCCTCTAATCTCAATTTCAAAGGCTGTGAACTCTTGAGCTCTCCCTAGAGGGCTCTGACTATCTATCCCTAGATAGTCAGAGTCCTCTTCCCTTGCTTCCTGCCCCAAGCCCAGTTTCTTCCATAGAATGGGGCTAGTGTCTAAAAAGTTCCCCAAATGGCTCACGAAGGGAAAAGAACAGGTTTCAGGTCATCCTACTATATGGGTCTAGCTCTGAGATCACCTACAGCATGGGCTGTTTTGTGTGGAATGGGATTGTGAACTAGATGTTGGAGTGTTGTGGGGGCACCAGAATGTTCAGGTTCTTAGAGACATAAACCACCCTAAAAAAAAAATAAAAAAATGCCTAGGTTATTTGGAGTTTATTCACTTCCAATAAGACATAAGATGATGGAGCTTTGGTGGCACTGGATCCAGCTCCAGCATAATCCCAGGTTCTATCTTACTTGGGCTTGGGCAGGAAATGTCAGGTCAGTATTCTGGCCTTCAGGAATCTAGAAAGGAAGAGACAATAGTCAACTTCCTGAGCTATGCCCTCTGCTAAACCACTACAGAGTTTGCAAGGCCTCACACCTTCAGACTCATCCCCCTCCTCAAAGTCAGGCTCAGGCTCTGGTTCTGGATCTGCCTCCGGCTCTGGTTCTGGATCCATTTGGGGTTCTGGTTCTGGCTCCGCCCCTTCAGAGGCCTCAGCTTCCTGCTCTGGCTCTGGCTCCTCTGGAGTTCCGGATTGCACTGCTTCAGAGCCCTCAGGACCTCCTGCCTCATAGTGATCTGAAACTCTGGGCAGCCCGGGACACACTGTCCCCGAACTGGGTGCCTCGGGCGTCCAGTGGCCTGGGCATGGAGGGTCATAGCTGCGGTCCCGGTAGCCTGGGGCAGAAGTGGGAGGTCTTTCAGGCTCAAGTTATCTTTCTGCAATCCTTAGTACACACACACACCTACTTTTGGGGGATACCACGATTCCAACCCTCTGTTAGCCTTTGCTTGGCTCCCAAGCCACGCCCCTAGTCTACGTGCGCTCACCAGGGCCCACGTGCTGCCAGTCCCAGGCTGGGTCTGGCGCGCGCAAGGTTTGCTGGGCGCAACGCAGCAGCTCCTGGCAGGCGGCCTCGCCCTTGCTCTGCACCACCAGCAGCAGGCGGCGCACCCTGCGCTCAGCATCAGGCAGTGCATCCAGTGCCTCATACTCCGGCCCGGTGAGCACTCCCCGTGCTACCAGCGCGTCCAGCAGTAGTCCCGAGTCCGCCTGCAGCGTTTCCACCAGGCGTTTGCGCTCACGGTCAATGGTCTCCGAAGGCCGCTCCTGCGAGTTGCCCATGGTCCGGGCTGTACAGAGAGGGGGAGAGAAGTAGTGGGCACCGGGGGTCCTCCATTCCTGACCTCTCTTCCAGGATCCCAGTGAACATCCCTGGCTGTGGTCTAAATTCACCTTGACCTCAGCGGCCAGATGGCTCCGCAGCACAGGACTCGGGCACCACAGTACTGAACTCTTCTCCCGCCTCTTGCCTGCAGCTTCTCTCCAGTCTTCTAAGGCTCCTCCCCTCTCTAAACGTCAGTTGTAGGCTCTCCCAATCAGGGCCTCCCTCCTGAGCCCCAGCCTCCTGCAGATCCGACCGTAAGACCCAGTTTATCCAAACAAACGTCCGTCGCCGCCCCCGTCCCCGTATTGGGGGTTGAGCCCTGGGGTGCTTTACCACTGAGCTTCATCCTTAGCTCTTTTTAGTTTGAAACAAGGTCTCCTAAGACCCTTACTAAATTGCTGAATCTGGCCTCGAATTTGGAATCCTTCTGCCTTAGCCTTTAGTTGCTGGGATTTCAGGCATTTGCCACCACTTCTTGGTCTTTCTCCAATCTGCTTCTCCATCTCAATAGGAGAAAAACCTAGGATAGACCCAAGGTTACAGCTTGCAGTCAAGTCCTTTCCAGTCTGACAAATATTTCTCTTGCCATTCTCACTTCTGAGTCTAGTCTTTTACCTCCTGCCTGGACCCTGCAGAACCCCTGGATCAGGATTCCTTGTTTACACAATCTGTCCTCCAGTACCCTCTGCACAAACTGTTGAGAGCCTGCCCTGCTCCTCTTTCAACTTGCCGGGACAGGCCCTCCTCCTCTACCCTCACCATCACCACCCAGTTCTAACCCCAACATGATCTCATGGCCCTTCTTGGTTCCCAGGTACCTAACAGCGATACCTGAATCTTCCTGAATCCTACCTCTGACCAAGATCTCCTAACATCACCCAAGACCCAGTTGACTCCCTGCTGGCCTGGGAATGACTCACAGTCATCTCTTGTTTGATCTTGAAATACTGAGGGCCCAGCTCATGAAAGGTTGCTAAACTTTTTTTTCCCATTTTGAGACTGTCTCTACCAAACTGTAGGGACTAGGTAGAAATCAATCTGCTTTGTCTATTTATTACCAAGCAAGGACAACAGCCCATCTCTTTGCCAGCCTTAGCAAGGCCCCTGACATTAGATAAAGGGGTCAGGCCCTGGACCCCTCCCACCCTCTGCCCCTTTCCCTGCCTTGGCTTTATTTACACAGCATCCTTCCTGGTCTCTTCTTCCCATGGAGTGTTCCTCTTTTCCCTCCTTTCCTGGTCTATAGAGTCTTCGTCCCCATTTTGCCTCCCAGGTCTCTTTCAGAACCCCTTAGTGTCAAGATGTGCTTCCTTTGGTCACTTCACATTCCAGCCACCTCTCCCTCCACTCTTGTGTGTGTGTGTGTGTGTGTGTGTGTGTGTGGTGCTGGGGATTGAACCCAGGGCTTTGTGTATGTGAGGCAAGCACTCTACCAAGTGAGCTATATCCCCAGCTCCTCTCCCTCCCCTCTTATCAAATTGTCAGCCTATCCCCCAGATTCAAGCACAGATCAGAACTACCCTTGACCCTCCATCTCCCTTCATGTCTAATCTGTGACAAGTGTATCTCAGTGTTTCCATCAGCTCCTGCCTGTCAACCCCACCATTCACTTCATCTCCTGTAACAGTCCCTCTGAGTACTTCTCATTTTAATTCCACCATCCCTCAGCATAGTGACTTTGACAACTCTCTGGGGTAGGATTTATTGTTCCAATTTTACAGCTGAGGAGATAGACTCAGAGAAGCAAAATAGAATTAGATTCTGACTTGCTCCAATCTGAACTATACCAAGGTCTCCTGTCAAGCAGAATGTCAGGCTTTACCCCTTATTCCTGCCCCTACTGCTTACCTTAGCTTAGCTATCTGGTCTGGTTATTCTAGCTACCACTCACCACTCAGAACAGTGAGGCTCTTCTCTACTTCTCCCCACCACTCTGTTCTGGGAAAACTCACTATGTTCCTGGTATCTCTGAGTCTTTGCTGATGCTGCTCCCTAGGCCTGAAATACCATTCCCTCCCTCCACTCATGGACCCATCCTCCAACACTCAAATATTCTCTTGTCCACCCCAATGCCAGAGTGTTCAAGGGCAGATGGTTCCTTCTGTGCACTCCAGTGATCAGCATCTCGCCTCACTACTTCATTAACTGACATCACTGCACGTGTACACAGAGATCCTCTGTTCTCCTGGACTGAGGCTTCCAAAGACTGTCCCCCTTTGCAGGGCACGGAAGACAGAGGGGGCCAGCACCTACTCTAGCCAGACAGAGAGAAAGGCTATAGACCTGACTGGCCCCTCCTTCTCCCTCCGGCTTCCTAGGTTGTTTTACGTTAGTCGCCTCCTCCTGTTAACCCAAGCCCTGACTTTAGTCCTGCCTGGGGAGCAGAGACCCCGGCTGTTCTGGACCCTCCCTTTGAAACTTTCATAGCTCGAAGGTGAACATCGAAGTTATGTCGCCGCTAGTTCTCTCAAGTGACAGGCCCAGATGTTTCCCGGAGCTCCAGGTAGCGAAGCGTGGATTTGGGTGAGGCCCCCAATCCCCAGCTGGCGGTGAGGGTTCAGTTGCAGCCGAGCTCCGAGGGTCGTGGAAACTGCGGAAGCCGTTGCGCATGCGCGACCGTAGGGTACCCTGACCTCCCCTCCACCCAGTCCCAAGCTAGAGTCCTGCGGAAGGGCGGGGCCCACAGACCTGCGAGCGCCGCTGCGGGTGGTGAGGCTCGAAGTCGGCCCAATCTGAGATTCCCTTGCTTCCTCTGCCCGGTGGAGTGGGGCTCGCGGTTCGGCCCGTTTCGGGCGGCCCGCTCCCGGGTCGAGCCTCCGCGGGGCAGGAGATGACAGTGCAGAAAGGGCCGGGAGGGGTGGGGACCGGTGCAGCAGCTGCTACGGGGGCGGGGCGGACGGGGCTGCCGGGAATGGGGGGGGGGGGGGCGTTCTTCCCCGCTGCTGAGAGTCTGACTGCGAGGTGGCGCCCTGGCTGGGCACGTTCTCATAGTCCGCTTTCCCTCCCCATCCCGGGCGCACTGGACACTAGCCAGGGAGGAGACAGTTCGGCCGCGATCCCAAATATCCTGTACCCACACTAGGCTTGCCCATTCCCAGGAGCTTTCCGTCTATCTTCTCATCAACCCCTGCTCTCTGCCTGTCACAGATGGGGTTCAGAGAAGGGGCCCGACTTGTCCAGGGTCATATAGAAAGTGCACTGTGGAGCTGGATGCGACCCGAAGTCCCCGCTTCCAGGAGGTTGCAGTGGCCAGGCTCAAGCCCCGAGGAGTTAGGGGCTGGCTCCCCAGCACCACGGCTCTCCAAAGGTTCTCTATTAAAGCCTTCTGGGATCTCTGCAAAGCTGCTCATCCCACCCCCTGAGTCTTGGGCTCCCTCAACGATAAAGAAAAGACACCAGAAACACAGAAAAAGATGCAGTTTATGTGCACGGCTCTGATGGGGGTAAATGGAGAGAGGCCGCTAAGTAGTGGGGGATAGGCTCACCCCTGTCCCCAGGGGACATCAAAAGATCCCTTCAGAGGCTCATGGGTCTCAGGGGGAGGGACTGGCCCTTGGGTCCAGGTAGGAGGTCCGGTTCTCAGGGGTGCTGTAAATGGTCAAAGCCCCGGGCACAGCCAGGGCTGGGCCTCCCAGATCTGCCTGGACGTCCAGCAGGAGTGGGCCCCCAAGCGTGGAATCCTTTCCTAGAAAGAGCGAGGCTGTGTTCAGCAGGAAGGAGTGTTCCCCCTTCTTTCCTAGGGGAGGAGAGCCCTGCCCCCTGACTTCTGGTCAAGTCAGGATGAAACATCATTCTTAACCTTCCCATTCTCACCCAATGGTGAAGGGAAGGGGAGCTTCTGAAGGATCTACAGGGCAGCCTGAACTCAGGGAATCTCTTTGTAAAACTCAAGCGGCCTACTCCACCAATCATAGCAGTTCAGCAGTCATGGCCTCCCTCCTACATCCTGAGTCCCCACAACCATTACCTGGACCTGGAGAACTCAATCCCTTGACTGCCAGCTCAGCTTCACCTCTCTCTGGAACCAAGGGCTGCATCTGCATGGGAGAACCCCAGGAAGGAGTTGGGGAGGGAGCCCAATAGCTGAGGAAGAAACCTGGGGACTCACTTGGGCAATTCTCAGACATGGCTTTGGCTCTCTGAGAACAGCTATGGACCAAAGGGTGTGGCCCTCCCCAGCTCCATTTTACCAGGGACAGCTCCATGTCCAAGTCCATCAGGGTCCATTCTCGCCCTGGAAGGCTGGGGCCCAACACCTGGGAAAAGTTCTGGGTTAGTGCTTGCCTCTCAGGCTATGCAGACAGCAGGAACCAGAAGTGCATGTGCTTCTATGCCAGAAGTACTCACATCTAGGGGTGCTGCAGGCTCCACACTTTCAGGGGGAGGCCGAAGCAGCATCGAAGGCAGCAGACTCTCTGGGCTCCTGTTACCCTGCTCCAGGCCCAGAGGTCCCCTGTGCACAAAAATCTGCTGTTGGCCTGCAGTGCTCACCCCCTATTAAGTTCCCAAAGAACCTGGATGCAAGAGGATTTAAATCCCCCAACATCTAGAAAATGCCACTCTCCTTTCCTCATAAATGGACACAGAATGTCCCTGCTTCCTCTAAGACTTGAAGTCTTAGGACAGATCCTCTCTCTATGCAAGTATAAATACAAGGGGCTCTTAAACTACTGTGTATATTATAATCATCCCATTGAACTCATTTAAAAATGCAGATTCCTCAGTCCTACCACAGAGGAGCTGGGTGATCTGACTAGGAGTTCCTACTTTGTTTAGGATTTGTATGTAGGTGCTCCTTGGAGCATATTCTGAGAAATCATAAGTGCCCAATATCCTCCTCAGCCACCAAGGGGCAGACAAAGTAGGGAAGTTTCATGGGCCAGAGTGTTGCTCTATCTGCAAAAGTGGCCTGCAAGACTCACCTCAAGAATGGGCTCTGCTTACCTGTCAGGTACCTCCCTGGGGCCCCTTGGTTCAGGCTGTTGGACACTCCTGGGCCCCTCAGGGCTGAAGCTCCCTTTCCCTTCCAGGATGGCCTGTACCACAGCCACAGGCAGCGGTGGGGGGGCTGTCACGCAGAAGTCACACTCGTTTGGGGCCAGGGCCAGCCCGGCCTCGCCATCCCCCCCTGGACTGGCCGGCTCTTCTTTGAGCAGTGCCAGGCCCTTCTCCCTGTACCAGAGAAAAGCTTCAACCAGACCCTGGCACTGACCTCTCCCCCACCCCTACAGCCATCTGGGCTGCCAGGCCCTCCCAGACAGGCTCCCCAGAGGGCAGCCCCTGTCCTCCTTACCTCCTGCCACCACTGGAGGGAGAAAGCCTGGGCCCTTCAGGGGATGGAGAGTCTTCTGGGATATCAGAGATGATGGGGCCCCTGGCCCTGTGAGGGCTGAGACCCAAGGTAGTCTCTGGGAGGGGCTGTAAATAGAAAACTAGACCCAGTCCTTGACCTCTACCACTGGGAAAGCTAGAACCCAAACAGCACCCATCTGGACTATAGGGCCTAAGGGGCAGGGTGTGAGGGGGAAGGCTCAGTCCATGCTGGGGAACCTGGGTCTGTTTGGTGGGAAGGTTGGCTTCCATCTTCTTTGGGGGGAAATCGGGAGAAGAAACAGCTGTGCTTTAGAGAAAGGGGAAAAAGAAACCTACCGACTGGATAAAGTAGGGGTCCTGCAGGAGGGCACCAGGCAGGGAGCAGGCATTGAATTTGGCAGGTGTTGGGCATGAGTTCCCTTCATCCAGCATCAGGGACCTATACAGGATGACCAGGGTCCCTCAGGGTAGGGGCAGGGTCAGTCCCCATGCCCCTCAGCCTACACTTCCCTCCCTCCCTCCCTCCCTCCCTCAGGCCCCAGCAGCCAAGTCAGCAGAGCTGAGGCCTGTTGCCAGGGCATCAGTCACATGCTAGAGTGGAAGGGGCTCCCCCCCAGAGATGGGGGCCCTTTGGGGGTAGAGGAGAGGGAGGGAGCATGGTTTGAGCCCCAAGCTCTGCGGTTGGGATGTTTTGGGGGGAGGGGAAGGGATTGCTGGTGTGGGAATTTGGAGGTAAGGTCCTGGGAGTGGGAGTACCAGATTGTGGTGTTGGGGGAGGGGGAAAAGTTCCAGATGAGTTGAGGAAGCTGATGTGCAGCCAGGAGTAGGATTGAGGGTTCTGCCTGAAGGAGTTTCTGGAAGAGAAGGGGTCCCTGCCAGGGGTCTTAGGCAGAGAGAAGGTCCTGAAAGTGGAGAATTGGGGGTGAGCATCCTTGGCTCTCACTCACAGCTTTCTCTTTGTTCCTGCACTACTGGGCCCAGCCTGAAGCGGTCCAAAGAGGCACTGGATCAGCTGAAGAGGAAGAGAAGGGCTTATTCCTATTTTGGACACTCCCCTCACCCTAACAGGCAGTTCCAGGTGGGTTTGAGAAAGGGGCTAATTTGGATGCTAGAGGACTGGGTGTGGAGGGGTGCCCAGGAGTGAGAGGGAGAGGGAGGTAGAAGAAGAGGAACACCTTGCCAATGACCCGGTGCTGCTGACCATGGCTCTGCCGAAGTGTCACCACTTCCCGCCACAAGATCTCGTTCTGCCTAGGGGCAGGGGTGGGAGGGTGCTGAGGCATCTGAGTTCTCTCAGACACTCTCCCTCCCAAACACACACACACACACACACACACACACACACACACACACATAGAATGGCACAGCAGGGAAGGGACCTGGGTCACTACCCCAATAATCATCCACCTTATGGAGAGTCTAGAGTTCCACAACTGGGCCCATTTGTCTGGAAGGAGTTGCTGAGACCCAAAAGCTGAAGGGGCTGCCCAGAACCCTCTGGTGGCCAGCATCCTCTCACCCAGAACCTCCCACCAGGGCCGCCCCTCCCCCGCACTGCCTGAGCTCCCGAAGCCGCGCCTCAGTGTTCTCCTGCACTCCCCGCAAAGCCTGCACCTCGCCCAGCAGCCGACCAAGGTCTTCAGGGCGCCAGCGACCGTCATCGCTGCGCAGCGCGGGCACCTGCAGAAGGTACACCGCAGAGGCAGAATCTCGTAGAACAGGGCCAGCAGTTCTAACACCCCACGCGGGTTTACTCATTTCTGCTGGCTGTCCCTACCTTGCGCCGCACGCGCTCCAGTAGCTGCTCCCTGCCACGCACGAAGCTCGGGTGCTGGAACTCGACGTGGTCGCGCTCCGGCCTAAGCAGGCCACCCTGCTCGATGCTCACTACCTTCCGAAAACCATCTGGAGAGTGGGGCGTGGGGGGCGGGGGTGAGTCGTTCCATCTTTGGCACCAAATCACCCACACCCTGTCCCCACCCGGCCTGAGGGACTCACACATGTTGAGTTGACGCACAAAGCTCGCCATGTTGCTGTGCTTGAAATACTGGGGCAGCACTTCTTTGGCGAAGCGGCTCTGATCGCTTACAAGGAAGCTGGTCCCACTCTACCGAGAATGCCGCCCACCCGTGGTGCGGGTAGAGACCAAACTTGGTGAGTGGCGCCCGCCCACCATCAGGCCGGCGCTCTAGCGCGCGCGCACACACTCATTCACTCAGGGGTCAGTGCCGCTCATGGGAATATGGAAAGGCCGGGCCAGAACCACCTGAGGCCTGGCTCCGGACGACCACAGTGAATCCCTACCCCTAGCGTAACCGAGACTCGGTTCTCAAAGAGGAGTAGCAGAGGCCAACCCTGGTTCCACCTCGGACCCGTCCCAGACCCGAGCCAGAGCCAGAGCCACGATGTGACCCTGATTGAGCCAGTGCCAGCCCTCCCTTCTCTCGGTCTGTTTTCCGATCTGTCTATGGGGTGGGGTCATTTCATTCTCATTAAATGACCTAGGAGATGCCTCTGGCTCCAGGTCTCCAGGAGGTTCCTAACCCTTCCTCCGCCCCCGAGGAAGTCGCCTCATCTTCATCTCACACATCCCCTCCAAGGTGAACTACCCTGGACGGCTGACTCGGAGTGACCCACAGCCCAGTCCCCGGCGGGGGTTGAGTGGGCGTGGGTGTTCACCGACGTGGAGGGACCCCGGGGACCACTGGGAGAGTCGAGGGGCCCCAGCCCTCACCGGGCTCCAGCGGATCAGGTGGTCGGTGCCGGGGTCGCCCACCAGCGCCCATAACTTGCCGAGGAAGGCAGGTACAGGGCTGGGGCCTGGCTCCGTGGGCAGCGCGGCTGGCGCTTCCTGCATGGCGCAGTGTCGGCCCGGCTCAGCGCTGCGGCCCGGCCGCTGCGGGCTTGTCAAAGCCGTGAAAGTGCTGCGTTTGCCTCCCGCCCCGCCCTACTCCGCCTCCGGGCGCCGGGTCAGGCGGGGGCCACGTGCGAACCCGCGGGGCGGGGCTCGGACAGCGGCCGGGGCACCAGCAGACAGAAAGGCTGGCTGAATCGGATGTGTGTGGAGGGATGGGGTGAGAAGGGAGACCTGGGTTCGAATCTCATCTTAGTCTCTCTATTTCCTTTATTTGGGAAAAATCGCCCGTGTGTGGCCTTTTTACGATAAACTGGGAAAGTCCTAGTGAAGCCCCAGATAGAGCGGGCCGATAAGATAGTGAGGAAGCTAGACCTTTCCCGCCGAACGCGGGGGCATTGTCAATCCAAAAGGGCGAAGTGCCCCGCCCCTGACTCCCGCACCCGCAGCCCCATCTTGCACCTCTGCCCAGACGGCTCTGCGCGTTCCTCATCCTCCCCTTCAGAACCTAGCCCGCCTTTCACCGGATGCAGAGATACTGTAGGATTTGTTTATTTCACGCTCACCCCTAAGGCCGGGCCCACACCGGTGCCTGCCCTCCCCCCATGCCGGACCGCAGAGCTGGCATGGAGCATGCAGAAGAGCTGGGGGACCCCAGTGCGGCCGGGACAGAGCTGGCGTCTGCAGAAGTTGAGTGGACTCAGGGCACCTGTGCTGTACCGAACCGACACCGTGCCACGGGTCCCAAGAGGCACAAGAGACATGGAATTCCCAAGGAAAGAACTGGCAGTTTGAGTGTGCTTGGGAAATTCCTTCCAGCTTCTCCGAGGCCTCAGATTTGCAGAGGGGAGGGAGGGTTTGTCCAATCACCGCACGAACGTGGGCCGCCAAGGATGTGGCTCACGCTTTAGTTTGAGCGTGTAGCTGCGCAGACGCGGGCAGTGCGCGCGGAAGGCGTCCAACACCGATGTCCTCACGACGCAGAAGCAGTGTATTTCACGCAGGCCCGCGCACCGCGCCGCCAGCTCCTCTAGCGCAGTGTCCAGCTCTGATGAGGCGGAGGCGCGCACCTCAAGTGCGCGCAAGGTTGTGGCGTAGTGGCACGCGGCAAAACGCAGCGGACCTATAGTGTCACCCGAGAGGTTGAGACGCAGTGTAGCCACGGGTACTGCAGGTTGCAGGACTCGCATCACGCTTTCAGCTGGCAGTGCAGGCTCCAGCTCCAGCTCCACAGTCAGCCCAGGGTGGCGGCAGTGCAATGCTGCCCAGGCTTGATCGGGCAGTGGGGACGCGCGTGCATCTTCAGGGCTCGCGCACCGCAGGGCCAGGAGTGCAAAAGGCGCGCGATCTGGCTCAGCCAGCGCATCGAGGACAGCGTGGGACAAGCTGGCCAAGTGCAGGCCAAGGGTGCGCAGGCGCGGGCAGGCAGCCAGTAGCTTGAGTACTGAGCCTGGCCCCACGCTGTCCACCAGCGTATGGTTATCTAGGAAAAGGCTGCGGAGTTCTGGACAGCCACAGGCTACCTGCAGCACCAGCGTGTCATCCAGTGTGAAGGGCAAGCGCCGCAGGTCAAGGTGGCGCAGCTCGCTGGCGGTCCCACAGAGGGCATGCACAGCATCCAGGATGTCTCGGCCTGCGTCAAAGAGCGGTTTGTCTCCGTGGCACTCCAGGCTCAAACCTCGAAGACCAGGGGCACGGTCTGCCAGTGCAATCAGCAGCTTGGTGGCTGCCTGGCGACTCGGCTTCCTCGACGGCTCAAATTCCAGCTGTAAGTTGTGAATGTGGTCCAGGCAGACAGACAGAAATGGCGGGAGTATGCCTTCCCATTCACTGTCACAACTTGGGTTAGAACAGTGAAGAAAAGGCGTTGGCAGCCTCATAACGACAGGGGAGAACCCTCCACCAACCTCTCAATTTGGGTGCCAGCTGCCCTCCCCACTTCCTGTTCCCAATGCACACACCTCTCCCTCTGCACCATGCCTTTGCCTCACGGCAGCAGCTGAAACCCTGGCATAGACAGCCAATATTTCAGGAACTATAGCTGTCCTAAGGAAGCACGTGGGCACCTTGAACTGCCAGGTTCAAATTTCACCTCTGCCACTCTATGGATGAGTGGCCAGCGGGAAGTGATTTTCTTTGCCTCTGTTTCCTATCAGTTCAATAATAATACTGTCACACCAGGTTTTCATGAGGATTAAATGGGTTAATATATGAATCTTATGTATTGTTAATATGTATTGGTATGTAGTTGGCAGTTAATAAATGTTAGGTTTTTGTTGTTTTTGCGGGAAGTCAATGAATCTCCCTAATCCCTGACTTCACAGGGAAAGTATAAAAATGAGGAATGGCAGGGGACAGAAAAGCCCTCTCACCTGATGTTTGTGTCGTGCCACACTGCACTGCTGGTGGCAGCAGCTGCCCAGGCCCTGCAGACCCCAGCGACAGCAGTACGATCCCTGAGAGACAGGTGGCGGAAGATGAGAGCAAGTACCTCCTGGGGCAGTTGTTCTCCTGGCTCCACCATGGTGTGGCTCTGGGTCGGGGGACTTCACCACTTCCAACAGCTTCGGACTGGAGAGAGAGACAGGGTCATCCCTGGGCCCAGGAAACAGCTGAGCCTGGGTGTAGAAATATTTGTGGACTGAAAGCCGTTACATAATTTGCAGAACCCAGTACAAAATGAAGATATGGGATTCCTATTCACAACGTTAAGAATTTCAGAGCTGGGAGCGGTGGTGTACACCTGCAATCCCAGCTATTCTGGAGACTGAGGCAGGAGGATCACAAGTTTAAGGCAAATAGCAATTTAGGGAGAACCTGTCTCAAAATAAAAGAACTAGGGATATAGCTCAGAGGTAGAGCACTCTCCTAATATGCCCTAGTTTCGAGCTCCAGCACCATAAATAAATAAATAAATACGTTGCAAAATGTGGGGGCTCTGCCCCACTGCGCAGGTTTCAGGTTCATAATGTCGGCCCTGGGTGTCAAAGCGTTTCTGGCTCTTTAAACTGTTTTTTCAATTGTGTAGTCACCAGGTGACTACACAGGTTCCAAGTTGAGAAACCTTGTCCAATCCCGCCAGCCACTAGAGAGTGACTAGGATTAAGGAGACGGAAGAATTTATAAAGAGTTTTGTCAGGGACAACGAGCCAATCAGAGAGCAGTGGCATGGGCGGAGCCCGGCGGGATCCACCCAGAGAGGGGAAACGTCTTTGCAGCGGGGGTCTAGCCCCGGAGTGTCCCGGGTGCTTTCTAAAACCGGCAAGACCTGCAAGGAAAAGCATGAGATCTGGGGACAGACGGTTCTTGCCTCTGAGGAGCTGTAGTTCAAATTTGGATCCTGATTAGTAATTTGGAACTCCCTAGAGCCACCCCAGAGCGCAGCTTTTAGAGGGAAAATGTGCGTCCTCCTTTTTTTTTTTTTTTGTGTGTGTGTGTGTGTGTGTGAGAGAGAGAGAGAGAGAGAGAGAGAGAGAGAGAGAGAGAGAGAGAGAGAGAGAAAGACTGAACCTACCACTAACCCCAGTCATTTTTATTTTTTGAGACTGCCTTGCTAAAATGCCCAGGCTGACCTTTAACTTGGGATCTTCCTGCCTCAGTTACCTGAGTAGCTGGAATTACATTCGTGCACCACCGCGCCTGACCTATGAAGTTGCCAGTTTTGTTTCAAGGTGCCTGAAGTGTTCTGTGCACATTTCACATCACTTACTAGTATTTCCCCCCGTATCTTCCAAGGTAGAGGTCTCTTCTGGAATATGTGTGACGTGTACGCTGGGGATTGGATACCTAGGCCAGGTTTGTACCTGGGACCCATGGCACAGGGTTTTTAGTGTGTTTAGTAGAGATCAGATTGTCAAACTAGTTCCCCAGGGGGCACTAGAAAATTCTGATCACCAGGGGGCGCCTTCTTGTTGATCCACCAGGAACAGATGAAAGTCTGGCAGCTCTTACACTGTAGCCCTCCCCCCTCGTAAAAACTGCAAGCCCCAAAAGTCACGACCTGCGGGCAATTCTTCCTGCCATCCAACCTCGGGCGCTGGTAATCTTACCTGCTCAGCGGACCAGATGGGCTTTGCCCAGAGACAGTGGACTGGCAGCAGAGAACAGCAGGGTGGGAAGGAGCTGCCTGGAAGGCGGGACACGAGGACGAACGGGGCGGCTCGAACAGGGGCACCGCCCCAGCGCCTCGGCGCACACCCGGAAGCGGCTCGGTGCAGCGGAGCCTGGCGGGCGTGGGAACCCAGGCCCGGCCAAGGCGGGCAGGTTAGTGCAGTTAATGGGTGGGCTTGCTGGTGTGGCAGGAGCAGAGGCTGATCCTGGCTCTCAAGCGTGGGCATCGCGCGGTTGTTACCGCTGCTGCTTTGGCCAGCTACTGCGGCGGCCTCTTGGGCTCTTTCAATGGGAGGCGGTGGGGAGTACGGAATTTGACCCTTGCAGGTTCCTTGCCCCAACCAAGGGCTTTTGCCGGGTGGCAGGGCCCTGAACGTGAGGGTGAAGGAAGGGCAGGGCTGGTCTGAACAGTTCTGTGAGCCGCGACCCCCGGGCACGTGCAGAATGAAGGTGGACTAGTGGGAACCGGGGAAGCTCCTGTAAAGAGGCCTGAAACAGCTAAAGAGCTCCCAAACGGGGGCAGCAGATGAGTAGGGGGCGCTCCTGGCTGGTCGCCCAGAATTGCAGGCTTTCAGTCCTTGGGCCACTCTTGAGGGCTGTCCCTGCCGATCAGCCAGAGGTAGGGCTGCATGAGAACACATGTTTTGTGTTAGGGTGCGATGCCTGGTTGGCCTCTTGTAGTTGGCGCACTTTTTGGTACTCAAATATCCATATAATGTCATCCAGATAAATGTTACAGGGCCAGCCTGGAAGCCTAGGGCCAGCCTGGAAGCCTTGGCCCAGACGGAGCAGGGGCGGACTCTCGGTGGGTGAGGCTCGGGGCTTCCCGAAGAGGGGTTTTCTGTGGAAGGACACGCAGGAAGGATGATTCCCAAAAGGAAAATCTCGAGCTCCAGCTCCAGCTGAGCTGACTTCCCCCACGTGCCTAGTACTAGTATGTTGGGCATCGCCCCATCTCCAGGTTTCCAGTGCTTACCTAGCAGGCCTGATCTGTTCCATTTTGTCCCTACTTATATTCTCTGAGGTCATCAGGTCAGCATTTACTTCCAAGTCAGGGGGCTAGGAAGATATGAAAGTGGAAACATTTCCAGGGTCCCCTAGGCCACTTATCCAGGGCTTCCCACTTGTTTTGCCTCTTTGGCTTGCTCCCAACCTCTGTTGGCCCTACTTGTCATCTGCAGAGTTTTGAGTTTCATCCTGTTGTTTTTCTTTCTTTCTTTTCTTCTTCTTTTTTTTTTTTGTTACTAGGGATTTATCACTGAGGTACATTCTCACCACCTTTTTTGGGGTACTGGGGATTGAACTCAGGGCACTCAACCACTGAGCCACATCCCCAGCCCTATTTTATTTATTTATATGTGATGCTGAGAATTGAACCCAGTGCTTCACACAGGCAAGTGCTCTACCGTTGAGCCACAACTCCAGCCCCCCCCCCCCCCCCCCCTCTTCTTTTTTTTTTTTTTTTTTTTTTTTTTTTTGGTACCAGGGATTGAATTCAGGGGCCTTGACCACTGAGACACATTCCCAGCCCTATTTTGTATTTTATTTAGTGATGAGGTCTCACTGAGTTGCTTAGTACCTCCCTGTTGCTGAGGATGGCTTTGAACCCACATCTTCTTGTCTCAGCCCCTGAGCTGCTGGGATTACAAGCCTGCACCACTACGCCTGGCCCCCCATCCCTTTTAATAAAGACATTTACTTTGCTTTTTTTTTTTTTAACACAAAGGAAATGTGTCTTTATTTTATTTTTGGTGGTGGGAATTGAAGCCAAGGCTTGAACATGCCAGGCAAGCACTCTACCACTGAGCTATAGTACCAGCCCCAAATGTTTCTATCTTACATAAAGTAGAAGATATTGCTGAATAAAATGAAACAAAAATTACCTCAGCCACTCCCCCCATCCTGATCTGTTAATTTTCAGACTATTGTTTTGGGTAAATACACAGTATTAATGTTTTAATTATGTAATGACTTGTATGGAGTGGGGACTCCAAAAAGTGTGTCCCCTGTGCTCAGACCCAGGGTAGGGCCATTGCCAGTTTTCATTTCTCTTGCCAGGGTGGGTAATGCTGGAGGGCCTAAATAGTGTTCTAGCTTTGGCCCTCAGGTTAGAGCCTGGGGAAGGTCTGAAATGCAGCCTCTGCTCTCTGCCTTAACCTCAAGATTCTTACTTTCTCCTCAAGGAAGTTCAAGGTTGGCTCCTCCTGGGACCCCCCTCCCCTGAGGCTCCCTGTCTATAAATAGAAGACAGCTGGGACTCCTCTTTCTGTCCTGCCCAGAGCTTGGGCTCAGCACCCTTCTGAACCCACTATCTGTAAATGCTGACAGAAAGTAAAGGAATGTGACTTATGGGATAAGGAGCTGGGGAATTGAGTTCATTTCTAGAAAGAGGGGGTATCCCCTCAGGTGAGCTGGCGGACTTGCCTCTTCCTGGGCCAATAGCTGGGAGGCCACTGAACAGAGGGTCAATGCATTGGTTGCCTGGCTGGGAATTTTGCTTCCTGCCAGACTTTGATAGAAGATGACTGGAGAAGATGTTACTACTAAGGAGCTCTGACTATCTGGATAGGAATGAACCTACAATAGAATAATCTGAGTTGGAGAAGAGCCCAATTCCAAGGACTTATAACAAAGAGGGATGGGTTTTCTTACATACCTGAACAGTCCAGGCTGTAAAAGCTTCAGGGACAGCTGGATCCAGGGCCATAGTGTGGTTAGAAGTTCCCTTCTCCATCTCTTGGCTTTGTTTCCTTCTGTGTTGGTTTCATTCTCAACCAGGCACTTCCCAAGCAATGGCAAAACAGACCGCCCCTTCCTTCAGTTTAGCCCCAGGGGAAAGGAAATTAGTACATCTTTCCTATTGATCCAGGCAGAGTTGCAGGGTTGATTCTCACTGGTCCAACTTGAGCCCTATTCCCCAAACCCAAACTAGAATAGTGAGTGGAATATGCAGTTTGGTCAGACTTGCTTCATATGACCAGACCTGGACAGAGATTGAGAAAACAAAGGAATAAAGTTCTTAGAGGTGTCTTGGGATTGGGAGAAGGAATCTGGGTGGGATTAAACTTCAGGTTTCTTTTGAAGTGAAGCCAGGTGTAGTAGTGGGAAGGTAGATGAAATAACCTAAGGGTAGGGGCTGTGGACCCACAGGGACCCTGGGGACCCAAGTTTAAGCTGAAGGCAAGGCCAGGACCTGGGTCTGGTTGGCCTTGGGGCATTGGCACTATCCAGAATAGTCTCGTCAGTTTTGGTAAAAAAAGACACTGGCCTGAGCTAGGGTTGTGGCTTAGTGGTAGAGCGCTCACCTAGTAGAACGCTCACCTAGCACATGCGAGGCCCTGGGTTGGAGCCTCAGCACCACATAAAAATAAATAAATGAAATAAAGGTATTGTGTCCAACTAAAACAAAAAAATTTTAAAAATATATTAAAAAAAAAAAAAAAGACACTGACCTGAGGAGGAGGCAGAGCTTCTCTGCTTCCACTGCAGGGTCCACCTCCACTTTTCTGCCACCATGATCCTGGATTTTTTCTGGAAGATAATGGAAGGACAATATTCACTAAGTCTGGGCTAGGAGGGGCTCTGTTTAGAGCCAGAGGCACAGGGTGCCACCTGTAAGACGGTGAACTCTTTACCTCAAGTGTGCCAGTTGAATCGGCCACTGAGCCTGCAGGACAAACAAATGTTCGCAGTGTTTTGGAGCTGCACATGGGACTGGACGGTTGTCTCCAAGGCTAGGATAACCCAGATGCCTGTCTGTCTCTAGGAGGCAAGATGGCAGCTGGGCCAAATGGGCACGAAGAGTGGGTGGGCAGTGCATACCTGTTTTTGGAATCCTTACTGGACAAGGTGGTTCTGTCTGATGCCTATGCACACCCCCAGAAGAAGGTGGCAGTATACAGGGCTCTACAGACATCATTGACAGGTGGGTAAATGGGTAGGAATGGGAGAAGAAGAGGTGGGCTAGGCTCTTTTGTGGGTGGGGCAGGGGTAATACCCCACCTCCTGGATTTGGTGGGCCTGGGCTTATAGCCACTTTCAGGAAAAGAATTGGTGAGGGAGGGTAAGTGTAAGGTAGAGAAAACTGGCTGTGTAGGATTTGTCTTCTCTGCTTACTGCATGTGTGTCCTTGAGCATAATCATGTTTATCCATGATTGTACATCTACCTATTTCTGCACTAATGTCCCGCTACTCTATGCCCCCCACTCTGGAGCAGCCAGCTCACTCTTTTCTAGTAATCACAAGTTTCTCTCTTCTCTTTTCCTCTCTCACTACAGTACTCCTTGCCCAAGACCCTTCCCCACTACTTACCATTCCAGGTTCTTCTTTCTCATCTCAGGGTAGAAGCCACAGGAGGCTGAAGCTGGTTGGGGCATCCAGCTCCAACCTTAGAAAATCAAGAACCCCTCTCTTTCCAGGGGAAAGGGAACCACACTAGGTGGAAGCCAAAGACCTGAGACCTCCTGCCCTTCCCCTGCCTGCCTATGCACATAGCCTGGTGGCCCAGGGCATATGCCCCATTTCTGTGTTGCAAAGCCCCTCTCTTCCATTTGGGATTTAAGAGATAGGGCTAGGTGGCACCCACTCTTATCTTGGAATGTACTCTATGATTGGTCCTGGCCTGCTTTCTGGGTTGTTGCTGTTTGCATTCCCTTTTTTGTTTCCCAGCTGGGTACTCTGGATAATCTAGTATCCCAGGTCAGAGAATGGGGACGGGGTTTGACCATGGGCTTTGCCCCACCTCCGGCTTGGAGAACGCCCCACTTGGGGACCACCTGGAGCCTGACTGCTCACCTCCGCAGAGAGCGCCGAGAGCCCAGACGTGCTGCAGATACTCAAGATCCACCGCAGCGACCCGCAGCTGATTGTGCAGTTGCGTTTCTGTGGGAGACAGCCCTGTAGCCGCTTCCTCCACGTCTACCGGGAGGGAACTCTGCGCGCCAAGCTGCAAAGTTGCTTGGCAGCAGCGCTGGCCCAACGCTCTGTACCGCTGCAGCTGGAGCTGCGCGCTGGTGCCGAGAGGCTAGATGCTTGGCTGACGGACGAGGAGCATTGTTTGAATTGCATCTTAGCCCAGAAGGTGCGGCAGGATGGGGTCCGCATGGGGTAGGGTGGGGATTCACGGATAAAAGCCCCTCTGACCTCGTACTCCCTTCCCTAGCCCGACCGGCTCCGGGATGAGGAACTAGCTGAGCTGGAAGATGCGCTCTGCAATCTAACGTGTGGTTTGGAGGGCCAGGGTGATAATGTGGATGTGGATGTTGATGTCGTCCCAGCCCCCTCGCAGTCCCTGGTCCCCTCTCCGCCAGAGGAAAAGCCACCGCCCTTGTCTGGACAGACGTTTCTGTTCCAGGGTCGGCCAGTAGGTGAGGTGCAGGCGCAAAGGTGGGGTCCCCGGGAGGTTGGAGTTTGGGCAGGGGTGATGGTTAGGCTGTACGTCAGTGGCTGGGCACAGGTGGGGGCCGGCTCTTGGGTCCCTCCCACCCATCTGCCTCCCCAACTCCCTCCACAGTGAATCGGCCACTGAGCCTGCAGGACCAACAGACGTTCGCACGTTCAGTGGGCCTCAAGTGGCGTAGGGTGGGACGCTCACTGCAGCGCAGCTGTCGGGCATTGCGCGACCCAGCGTTGGACTCACTGGCCTATGAATACGAGCGTGATGGGCTGTACGAGCAGGCCTTCCAACTGCTGCGTCGTTTCGTGCAGGCGGAGGGCCGCCGAGCCACACTGCAGCGCCTAGTAGAGGCGCTAGAGGAGAATGAGCTCACCAGTCTGGCAGAGGACCTGCTGGGCCTGGCAGGTCCTGATGGAGGCCTGGCCTAGACCCGGTTCCAAGGATGCAGCAGTCCACCACGAGCCCAGCAGCGTTTGGAGCATCTGGATGGTTCTAGAGTCCCTTCTGCTACTACTGTTACTATTGCTGACCCTCCTTCCAAATCCACTGGAACCCTACATTTAAAACCTCTACTTCACTGAGCTGCTGCAGCAGAGTTGAGTGCCTTCTCCAGGATCCATAGGAACACCTGCTGAGCTCCTGGGACATACCACTGGGGATTCTGCTCTAGATTCTTTGATGGAGACAGTATGAATGTCGTTCCCATCCTCCCCTATCCCCAAAAGAGAATCTTCTGGCTAGCCCTCACCCCCTTCACTCCTTGAACAGTGACTCCATAAGCACCTGGAATTTCCTTGTCCTAGGCACCACCCTGGGTGCTGCAAATACTGTAGTGAGCCAAATACCCAAATCCCGCTTGCCCCAGCTCACTCAGTGTGAGACCCAAGTACTTAGCAATGGTAATAAAATGTAACTTTCACTCAGGGAATTGTGGGAACACAGAGGCCTACCCCAGCCTGGTGTTAGGCTCCTGAAGAGATGAGCTGGTGGGAAGGGTGAGGTGGGGAGTTGAGAGAAAGGCAGTGCTCTGGGCATAGCAACACCCTGGGGTCTTGAGGAAGGGAATAGGGAAGAGAAGTGTAGAGTGGCTGGAGGGGGTTGCTGAATGACCCATCAGTGAAGGAGAACATGGAGTCTGGTGAGCCATTTTACAGAATTTGGATTTAATAATGAGGCCAGTGAGAAGCCTTTGAAGGGTTTGGGAATTAAGACTGGGAGGCTGGTGAGGATGGGGGGGGGGGGGAAGGAGGGGCGCACACGGAGAGAGGGGGAGGGAGAGAGGGAGAAAATGCAAGAAAAAGCAGCAAGAAGGAGACAGATACTGGGGCAGTGGCTGCAGCAATGGAGGAAAAGAGATGAACACTAGGAGATCTTCAGGAAGAAGAATGGGCCTTGGTAACCCTGGATTGGAATGGGGTAAAGAGGACCCAAAGTTTCTTCCTTTGCCAGTGGGATGGAGGCTTGGGGTTGCCCTGTTTGCTCTGTTCATGGGAAATGGTGTTCCTGTAGGACATCCAGTGAGGGAGTGTGAAGGCTGCTGGGTATATAGTTCTGGGTTTAGGAGTTGGGTCACAGGTAAAGATTCATGAATGGACAGATAGTGGGACTGAAGGACACTTACTAGAAAAGTGTAACCCCAAGAATAAAGAGGAAAACCAGGGGTTTGGGGGTCAGGGAATACTGTGGTAAGAAAGCCAGCTGACAGATCAGTTGAGACTGAGGTGTATTCAGTTAATAACATGGAGATTCTGGGTGGAGGTACCATGGAAAGGAGTGGGAAGTGAAGCAGTGATGCACACCTTTGCTGGGGGTTTTCTACTCCAAGCTCTACCACATAGGCTGAGGTCTGGAGACCCTGAGTTCCAGGAAGAGATAGTTGAAAGCTGGCAGCAGAGTTAGGCAAGGACTGGGCTCTCAGGCTCCAGGGTGCCACTCTGCTCACCTTGATCTCAGGTCAAAGCCTTTGCTGAGTGACCTCTTCCAGGAGCTTTACCAATCCCTGCTAACCCAGTCTGGTCAGCAGTGGCACAGACACAAGACATTTCTATGTGCAGGAGGCTCTGCGGGGGAGCAGGAGACTCAAAACTGAATCTGGGACTGGACTCAGGCTTATAAGCTCCTGGAAGACAGGGCTGCAGTGCTTGCCTGGGAAGTTAATGCAGACAGGGTTGACCTGCTGTCTTGTATCCCAATGGGGACAAAGGAGAGGTGGGATGGGGGAAGCACAGAGGATTCCTGGACTGAATTCCAAAAGATTTGGGACAGTACTTTCTGCCTGTATGATCCTCCTGGGCCTAAGAAGCAGCGTCCCCATCTGGGCCTAAGTAATGAGAACTGTTGTAAGAATTGGAGAAGCAGTTTTGTGTGTGCAAACCGTCCTCACTCGGCAGTTTACTGGGTGGCAGGCGGGGGGCATTCCGTGAGAGTGGGGGTAACCAGAGACACCGATACTTACCGAGCCTCAGAAACGCGGTCTTGGGGAGTCTGAGCTAGCACCAAGAACAGGCCTTCCCAGCAAGAATTGCCCCTAAGGAATCCTCTCAGGGATTTATCCTCACTCCGAGTTCCCGGCGCGGCGCCGGGGCGGAGCTGAGCTCCAGATGTCCGGGCGCGCACAGCTGGAGGGTCACGTGGCACGGCCTCGGTCCCCTTCCTGCCAACGCTGCATTTGGCCCAGGCCCCGTCCATGGCCGCCCTTAGGACCCTGCGCTGAGCCCGAGGCTCCAGCGTCGGGGGGCCACGCCGCTCCCAGAGTGAGTGTCGGGATCCCAGAGACAGAGGTTGGGGCGGGGAGGAGAAAGGTAGAAGGGATTCGGTCTTAGCGTGAGGGGTGGGAAAAAGTAGGGCTGAGAAAGGGCCTTTCTGCCCTGCTTTCGCCTCTTGGGCACCGTCCCGGGCTGGAGTCCAGGGGATGGAAGTTCGCTACAAGGGGGAACATCTTGTCCCTTCAGGCTGCTAGTCCCAGGGGTGCGAGGAGGAGGTGCAACGGAGGGGAATGAACTGCCGGTAGTTTAAGACCCCCCCCCCCCGGGTGTGGTCTCCCGCACCCTCCTCTCCGGGAGGCGGGGCTTGGAGCCTCTGACCCCCAACCGCCACCCGTCCTTGCTTCCAGAGGCTCTGCGGGCGACCCTTCGAAGAGAGGGCGGGCGTCGGCCACGCGGTCATGAGGAGGCGGCTGCGCCTACGCCGGGACGCGTCACTCACGCTGCTCCTCAGCGCCGCCCTTGGCCTCTTACTGTACGCGCAGCGCGACGGCGCGACCCCCACTACTAGCACGCCGCAAGCGCGAGGGCGGGAGGCACAGAGACCCACCCCAGGTCCCCGAGCATTCCAGGTACTGGACTCTGGCGCAGCCCCACCGGCCTACGAAGGGGACACACCGCCATCGCCCACTCCCACCGGCTCCTTTGATTTCCGCCGCTACTTGCGCGCCAAGGACCAGCGGCGCTTTTCACTCCTCATTAACCAGCCTCACAAGTGCCGTGGTGATGATGTACCTGGTGGCCGACCTGACCTGCTCATAGCTGTCAAGTCGGTGGCAGCTGACTTCGAGAGGCGACAAGCCGTGCGCCAGACGTGGGGTGCCGAGGGTCGCGTGCAGGGGGCACTTGTACGCCGTGTGTTCTTGCTGGGGGTGCCCAGGAGTGCAGGCACCAATAAGGCTGACCCAAAGGGGGTGGGCACACAGACACACTGGCGTGCACTGCTGCATGCTGAGAGCCATGCATATTCGGACATCTTGCTCTGGGCCTTCGAGGACACTTTTTTCAACTTAACACTTAAGGAGATCCACTTTCTGGCCTGGGCCTCAGCCTTTTGCCCCAACGTGCGCTTTGTTTTTAAAGGTGATGCTGATGTATTTGTACACGTGGGGAACCTGCTGGAGTTCCTAGCATCGAGGGATCCTGCGCAGGACTTGCTTGCAGGTGATGTAATAGTGCAGGCGAGGCCAATCCGTGCTAGGGCCAGTAAGTACTACATCCCAGAGGCTGTGTATGGCCTGCCTGCCTACCCAGCCTACGCAGGTGGTGGTGGTTTTGTTCTTTCTGGAGCTACGCTGCGCCGCTTGGCAAGTGCCTGTGCACAGGTTGAGCTCTTTCCCATTGATGATGTCTTTCTAGGCATGTGTCTGCAGCGCCTCCGGCTCACACCTGAGCCTCACCCAGCTTTCCGTACCTTTGGCATTTCCCAGCCTTCTGCAGCACCACACCTGAGCACCTTCGACCCCTGCTTCTACCGCGAATTGGTTGTAGTACATGGGCTCTCAGCTGCTGACATCTGGCTTATGTGGCGCCTGCTGCATGGGTCACATGGGCCAGTCTGTGCACATAGGCAGCCCGTTGCTGCAGGCCCCTTCCAGTGGGGCTCTTAGCCACCCATCACAGTGCCAAGCTTCTCTTAGCCCCAGGATGGAACAGAAGAGAGCCTGAAGGAGATTCCTGTGTGGATTATTAAGGTGTGGGTTACTCTTTCCTAGATTACCTGTGTCTGCCTCCTCAGAATCCCAGGGTATGGAAACTGAGTTTGGCATTTCCTGTTGGCTCATACTACACAGAGGAGGTCTAAAAAACAATGTATTGGTGACCACAAGTAGAGCTATGGCTGAAGTGGAGGAAGACCATGTCTTGCCCAGCAGGCCCCAGAGCAATGGACATATTTAGTCATCCTAGTAGCACATAGGTGTGTGTTCAGGTGGAGGCTTGGTTTTGAACTCCTAGGATGATGCAGACACATGCAGCTCCTCAAGGCCAGGTCCCACAGCCTTCATGGACCTGGCAGGCATTCTGTCATAACTCAGTCTAAAGTAGACATGTTGCTTGCCACCTGCTTCTTCAATTGGATTCCCAGCCCTGTCTACATCTTTAGATCTTTCCCCTCTCAGGTCTGCTTTCCTGGGCCAACTCCAATAGGATCCAGGTCTGCCTGGTATACCATGGATAGAGCCATATCAAGGACAACTATGTCATGTTCCCAAAGTCTTTCCCCATCTCCTATACCCATACACTATGCCATTGTTAAAAGCTGTCCCGTCCCCTTCAGAGGAGCCATGGCTGTCTCCTCAGACTCTTCTACTATAAAATTTCTCATATTCTTCAACCACCCCCTTCCTAAGAAATAAATACTTCCACACTTATTTCAGTACAAATATCTCAGCAACAGCCCATGGCAAGCTGCTGCTGAGGGCACAGGTGCTTTATTGGAGAAGGGATGTGGGCAGGGGATGAGGATAGGTCCCTCATTCCAAGAGGATGGGAACAGTCCTGGCTACCCCTGACAGTAAAATGTGCAGGGTCTCTGGCCAGACCACTGTCCAAATGGGAAGACATTAGTCAGTTACAAAATCAAAGTCATGGGAGTGCCACATAAGCCTGACTATAGGACTAGGAACCATACAGGCACGTGGAGCAGATCCCCTGCACATTCATCATGAACTATACAGGATGAGGCTGTACATGAGTTAATTACAAAAGTTTCATATTTACAAAAATCTGTACACACATTTGAAAAACTCACAAAATTGTCATCTATGTATCACAAGTTGCTAGACCAAAATATTAAAAATGGGATTAAAATTATACATTTCTCTTAATTCTTTCCAAAAAGATTAATGTTTTTAAAGCATATATATGCTACTTTCCATTAGCCAGACCCATGAAGAGACCAAGCAGCCCAACCTCCCTGGAGCCCCCCAGCCTTGAGCCATGAATGGCCTGGTTTGAGGACAATGCCCAGGTTTGAGGCAGGGAGCTGGCCCACAGTGCAGAACAGAATCCTAAAACACAATGAAAGAGGAAGATGTCTTTGGCTAAAACTTTGGCATTAAATAAAAGAGGCAAACAGGATGGAAACATGCAGCCCTGCCAGCCAGGCTGGGCAGAGCAGGGGCACAGGCAACCTTGAAAGCTGGCTCCAAGAGTGGTGGGAACCAGGCCTGAACACATACCTGGATGGTAGAAAGCTGTGTTTCAACCAGTTGGTGTGCTTCCTAGGACTGGTGGGCAATGGGTGCCAGAAAGGAACCAGGAAGGGCAGGTAGGCCACCTTGGCCACAGCCAGCTCATCAAGTAACAAAAGTGGATGTAGTGCAAATGTTGCTACCAAGTACTATGGACACGCTACCTTCCTGCCACAAGGGTCACATGGCAATGTGGAGCCAAAAAGCAAGGACCCATGTCCTCGGCCACAGAAAGAGCCCCAAGTTTTCCCAATGTGTGTGGGACAGGGGCTGACATGTCCTGCCTCCTTACATGTTAGTAGAGAGCTTCTGAGTCCAGATATCAAGGATCAAAGTTTGTGCTTCTCTTTGCAGTCTGTGTTTCCTGCTGGCAGCAGCAGGCTTAGGATGGACAGAGAATATCTGGGCCCTTTGTCTCATGGCAAAGCACCCAGCCTGCGTTCCACCTCATAACATTCCAAGAGCCCTTCAACACTGGCAAGGTGTCCAAGAATACCCACAGGTGGTATAGAGACCCACTGAGCAGGATGCAACGCACAGTTCCATGGGTAGAGGGGCAGGGGTGGTGATGTCTCTAGGGTAGCTCTCCTGTTCTCAGGTGGGCACCAGGCCGGGGGGGCCCATACAGGGTCACCGAGGCAATGTGGTTGTTCTGCATGACCTGGTATAAGAAGAGGACAGTGGATCAAGGGACAGGGGAGAAGGAATAAAGGCAGATCCTGTGTGGCAGAGGGGTTGGCTAGAGGTCATATACACAAAGCCAAGGCTTCTTGACCCCTCAACTCCTCACAGTTTACACTAGGGTGCAGATCCTCTGCTGTTCCTCTTGGGGTACTTGACCTTTACCACACCTACTTGTCTAGTTCTTCTGGAACTGCTAAGGGCCTGCTAAAAGTATAGCTTCCAAGAAAAAAAAAAAAAAAAAAAGAAAGAAAGAAAAAGAAAAAAAAGGCTATCTATTCTTCTCCCAAGCCAGTGGGGCCTCCAGAGCCATTTGCCTACAGTACATTCATTCACAAAGGTTCCTAACATGCCCAGGGTTTGTCCCCATTGCCCCTTTCCCTGAGTACCTGGTTTCAGTACAGAGATCCCTGTAATCCTTCTCATTTTGTTGGAAACAGACTGCTTCAGCCTCCATAATTCCAAATTTCTTCAACTTTTCCCCTACTTTGTGGTCCTGGGGATGGAACCCAGGTCCTTGTGCATGCTAGGCAAATATTCTACCACTGAACTACATCCCCAGCTTACCCCAAATCATTTCTGAGCCCTTACTATTAAGTGTGGGTAGGCCAAGTACATGGACAGGGTTGCTGAGGAAAAATTAATCTACCCACCCTGGCACTTAGGCCCTTCCCAATTTTCCTCAATCACTTGCTTGTCCTTGCCATGACCACCAATGCCTCAGCAGCTTATTTCTATAAACTCCAGGACTTACCTCAAAGATCATCCGCTGAAGACCAAAGCAGAATGTGGAACCAAATGGGTTAGTGTTGTTTGGGGAGGAGGACCTGAGGCCAGAGAAAGCAGAATTAGAGGAGCAGACAAAGGTCTGAACAAGGTCAGCAAGGCATTCCCTTTTGGGATGTGGGCCACCAGCTAATTATCTCTTGTGGCTTTGAGTGTACTTCTGTCTCCATAGAGGCCCTTTAGGTTCTAGGGGTAGGAATGGCCTGACTCAATTCAGAATTCTAGATAATCAAAGAGGGCTCAAAAAGTTACGGTGGAACTGGACAGGGGTGGTAAAAAGTCAGAATGGTTCTTTCAAGTGGAGCCTTGAGCCTGAGAAGAAGCTGTAGGCAGCATAGCAGCAAGGAAGGGTCTTTAGGTTATAGTAGGTAGTGGCTTTGATAGGAAAGAAGAGCCTGGGACAATTGGTCAAGACCACCTCTCATTTTGAATAATTGGTGATGAGAGGGCCTCCATACTTAGAAGTATGGTAGGGGGCAAACAACAAGACCAATTGGCTCAGTCCTAATGTGCAGGATGGAGCAGGAAGTATGTTTTGGCAACATCAGAAACTTCTATAATTTCTAAAGCAATACCCACTGGCAGACTTTCCTTGAGCCTTTTGGGCTTCAAGGAGCAGATGGAATGATCAGAGACAGCAAATGCTGACTCACCTGTGTAGGACAACGGGCTTCTCCACAGGGTGGCCCAGGAGTTCCTGGATATTGTCCCACTGCAAGATGGATGGGGAGCAGCAAGGGTTAGTAGGGACTTAAACACACCTGTGACTAATGACAGGCCTGGAGAACATGACCTAAACTGCCAGCAGGCGCATGCTCAAGTCTTTCTAAAGTTGCATCAGGTAGGAAAATAGGAACTCACCTTGCTGTAGGTTGTACATGTTTCTGTTTGACCATCTGCATTTTCTGAAAAGAGAACACAATAGGCAGGCTGGTAACTGGCCTAGGCCACCTGTGTCCTCAGCAGTAGGCAGAATTCAGATCTAGCTACCTTTTGCCCCAGGGTTAGAGTACACGGGAAGCATAGGCAGGATGGAGAATTTTGGAGCTCCAGGATTGAAGAGGATGGAGAGGAGAAGGAAGGTTAGCCAGGTATGAGCTACCAACTAGTAGCATGAGATAGGCACTAAGGATGGGTTCGGGGCACTGGATAATCATCTGTAGATAGGAAAATTTCCCCTTCAGAGGCCAGCAATCCCATAGTCAGAGGAAAAATCCTTGAAGGCCTCCAGGAGATTCTAGATCAAGAACAATGCAGCTCCCAGAATAAGGGACCTATCCCAGAGGAGCTGAGATTACCAGCAGAAGCAGGCAGGCAAAGGCTTCACTAATCTAACTACTACCACCCTCTCTATTTGGCTCTTCTCGCATCTCAGAATGGAAAAGTGACTCCCGAACCTCTTCCTTACCCCGAGGGGACACTACTCACCTTTCTTTATGGCTAGTGGGATCTTGAATTCACAGCGGTGATAACTACAGAAAAGGTAGATGAGGATAAAGGCTGGGCAATCTTGGAAGCCCTGACCACTCCTACATCCCAATACTGTACCCCCCAAAAACCAGAATCAAAGACACCTCCCCAATGCCATGGCTCTGGATCCCTGACACAGCATTCATGGGGAGAGGCCAGATTAGGTACTGAAGACGAATAGAATAGGGCATGGCCTTAAGGTCTAAAGAGCCTAACACCTTGGATAAGGTATTGAGGCTTCTGATCCTTTTTCTCTATTTGGAAAATGGGCACATATGGAGAGAATGTAAAACATTGGACATTGTGGCAGGGACACAGCAGGCACTCAGTAAATGTCCACCTCCTGTAAAACAGCAAGAATTCAGGCAGAGGGTTGGAGATGTAGGTCAGTGGTAGAGCACTTGCATAGCATGTACAAGTAAAAATGAAAGAACTCAGGTAGAGATAAATTAGAGAATGCTCAAAGTCACAAATTCTTTTTCCTGTTTTATTTTTTTTTCTTTTTGTTTGTTTTGTTTTCTCCCCAGCCCAAAGCTCACTTACAAAAGGGGCAGATATGTGTAATTGTACTTACATGTTAAAATTATAATGCCCAGGGTAATTGGTGTGTAGGACAAATTTCTTCACTTTGTGGGTATTTGCATCGAAGAGGATGTCCTGGGATAGAAAAGGGTTTTTTATTATTTCTATTATTGAGGTAGTGCAGGAACAATTTCTAAAGACATGTCCATCTTGGAGATTTCCATTCCACCAAAGGGATGCTTGCAGGCATCCGCTCTCTTCCAAACAATAGTCAAGGGGACAGCTAAGGCCAAGCAACCTTAACCAGGGATTTTCAGTGGAGGAAGGAGGGCAAATAGCTGCAGGCTTGGCAGGCACAGGGGTTACAACTATACTTCCTAAGGAGAAAAACACATAAGGGAGACCTTTTCTACAAAAGCGCCTAATGAAAAATCTGAGTGCAGACTTTGACTCAAAGACTATCAAGAAGATTCAGGGACCAATTAACAGTAGAGGGTCTCAAAGGCACCTGGATATAATGTTGTGATTCTTTTTTTTTTTTTTTTTTTTTTGGTGATACTGGGGATCGAACCCAAGGCCTTGTGCATGTGAGGTAAGCACTCTACCAGCTGAGCTATATTCCTAGCCCTCCTGGCTATAATGAATGCTATGACCTGCCAGACTTTCCAGGCTTCTTTTATGCTCTCTATGGCAATCCCTAGAACTAAAGTCCATGTTTCACCAGGAGTTGGACCTGAATTTGATACAACCCATTGAAACACAAAGCTACCCATCCAAGCTTCTGACAGCTGCTCAGGTCTGGGACCCCAAGGTCACCTCTGAATCTACTCTGTACCAGTAGCCAACAAAGTCCTACCAAAGCTGTCCCTTCTTGGAATTTTCTCTGCTAGCTATTTTCACTGGCTCTTGAACTCAGGGGTCAAGCTGTAACATCACCATTCCCTCCTTTATTCTACCCTCAGGAGTTTATGACCTACAGTGGCTCCCACCCCCACTGCCCCAACTGACCCTTGGTTATGTTTGGTCTTTACCATATAAGCAGACCTTCCTCCTTTCTCCCTCTTAGGAAGCTATCCTTTGCTGTCTCAGATTACAGAAGGCTCAAAGCTAACTTAGAAGACCTATGGTTAGGTCAGTTCTGCCCTGAGATATTTTCTGCAG